AAGGATTTTGGGGAGGTCGGACGTGATGCTTGACCGATCACCGACTTCGGATTATCCACATCCAGTTTGCATGGATAGGGCAGAGCCTCCTAACCAGGAGCAGCCACTGGGCTCAGGAGGTGGGGAAGGAAGGGCTGTGAGGGAGCTCTGGGAACTGGGAGAAAGGACAGAACCGGGAGCTTGGAAGCAAAAATGAGGAGAGAGCGAAAAGGGGCTGGAGGAAGGAGGGAGTCTGTGCAGGGGTTTAAAAATAAGAATGAATTTAATGAACGAGAGAGTCGTGCATATGGAAAAATAGATGTGAAATGACCAAGTAGAAAGGAAAGAAAAACTGTGAGAAAGGTGAAGAAAGAAACAAATTAAAAAAAAAACTGAGAAGACAATTTGCTCTTTAAATATAAAGAATCTAAATAATCACAGTGAATCACTCCCTGACCAACAGAACTTAACAATGAAAAAAATATTAAAATCAAATATGCAATGAGCATATTTTTATGTCTAAAATAACTAACTAGCACTACTGAGAGCATTTGCAGTTGATAGAAAGCCCTGTGGTTATTTTATAATATGGCATGAAGACTGAGTCACAAGGACTCTTACCAGAAGATGGGATCTGGGGACATCCTCAAGTGCATTTATTCAGATATTTGCATGAAAAGCTGTGTTAAAAGTTCTAGGACTGAAAGAGTCCCCGTCCTGCTGGATGTTACTTAATCCTTGTTAAAAAATTCAATCCTTCTAAAAAAGAGCAGAGCTAACTATACAAGAAAAATACTTTAAATGTTCTTTATAATTTTCTTCACAAAAAGGAGATGTTTCTGTTTGGGTATTTTTATTTTCCACTGTGTTAATTGTTGTGTGGGGTTGTTTTTTTTTAGTTTATGCTCTCCAGAAGTCTTAAGTCAATCACTTAAGAGTCAACAGAGACAGTTAATGCTTAACCAATAAATTGTGTGTGAGCTTCATCATAGTGTAAGGCAGATTCACAAGGTCATGAACGGAGATAAACTCTTACAATTCTATTTTCTTGTTGATACTGTGTCTTCATTTGGATCTCAGTACTTAAAACCAAAAATAAACAAAGAACAACAAAACAAAACCAAAACCCCAGAAACCAAAAACCCAGCCACAAAGCACCTTTGCCAAGGGTCACATCTCAGTTTAGCAGAACTTGCAGCCCTTTGGAAATTAATCACTGATCTTTGTTTGACATCAAATGTCCTTGATACAACTCTGTGTATCACACAATTTTCATCTTAATAGATAAAGACTGTATAACCTGGTTAAGTGAAGATAATACTTGATACAGAAATCAATACCATTGTTCTTCAACAGAATAGTTAATTTTTTATATATATATATACACCTCAGGCATATTACCTAATTCTAATATGGCACTTCTAGAAATGTGACTAAGATACTTTCTTGGGGAAATAAGTAACGTCTGAGTTAATCTTCAGTGTGAAATGCTGTGGGAAGGTATTTTTAAATTATAAGTGTGCAGAGCAACTCTCTCACGCAAGGCTCACAGACTGTCAGTGTAAATACCATTGTCAGATTTGTGCAGTCACATAAGATTATTAAACTTGGGGGTGATATTCTCATGTAACACCTACACAGTTCATCAGCTTCAGGGGAGCTGCACAGATACAAATGAGAGTAGAAGTTGACCTTTCCAATCCACGTACTGAGTCACCACTTCACCTCCAGAGCTGATGTAACCGTAATGCACTTCGCCTTTACATCCATTTTATCTGCCTGCAATGCTCATTACTAAATATAAACCTGTTCTGGAAAGTTAAAGTGGACATGTGACAGGGGCCACTTTGGATAAGCCCCAGCACTCAGACACTCTGCCCTATTAATGGTTCCACCGTGGTTGTGCCTAATGCTCCCCAGCGCCCGTGTTTGCTTTCTCCTGGATTACCTGGGCTCCAGACAATCAATAAATGCAGCAGGAAAAAAATAAAAAAAAGCTCCTGGTTCACTGCCTGCTGCAGTTCTGCCTTTTTCTTTCAGACAATTTAAATCTCAACAGAAGAGGGGGACCGAACGTCTCAGCTCAGTTAGCTGGAAAATCTCAGGCATCAGGCGGATTTTTCGATGCAGTTTGGCACGGCAGAAATGTCAGGGGCAGTCGGTTTACGGAGGCAAACGAGAGGCTGCCTCTCGAATTTTTGACGTCAGCTGGAAGATGCAGAGACAGGTCAACAAAATGTTATTAGGACAATGTTAATTAGGACAAACCTTTATCCTGTGACCGGGCTGTTTGAATCTGCCAAGGGAGAGGAATCCACAGGAATGAAAACAATGCCCGAGCACCATTTCCTAAGCCTGTCAACATTAATTGTAATTTAAGACCTTCTGCTCTTCTCACCCTACAATAGAGCAACACGAGCTCTAGAATTTAAATGATGAGGTCTCTATTCCTGCTGGCACCTTCAAAATTATCTTGTCACAAAAACACTATTTTCCAGCGAGAAGATAAGAGGTATTTCTTTAAAGGGGGTAGCTAGGTGGGCACTAATGACTTCTGTGTCAGCTTTGTTACTGACAGTAGTATTTAGAAAAGAGCCTTGGATGGTGTCCTTAACACAGCACTGTAAATGCAGAGATGGATTAGACTTTGAAACTTAACATGTTCAAAATTTTGGGAACTAAATTAGGATGGAGAGGGGGTGGTGTAAGGCTGCTACCACTGCATACATTAAAGCAGAGTCTCTGTGTGTGGTTCTGTGGATTGAAGCTTTTGCTGTGCACAATTATTTACAGTAGGCAAACCCAAAAGGACTTCCTTTTACAAATGGGGTCTGATGCTTCCCACTGTCAACTTGTACCACAGTTTCCACATCACAGAAGGATGCACAAGGCTGCAGGCTGTTTGAGGGAATGTGTGTGTGTGTATTTGTTAAATTTCAGTGCTCAAAACTTTCATTTACTGTGTCTGTCTTAAATTCATCAGAGGGAGAAGAGCAGCCTAGTAGTAAGGACACCCTCAAAAGTGAAGATGTGAGTAAGAATTCCAACAGCTTCACCCTTGGCAAGTGAGCAGGAGTAAAAAGAAAGCAGCAGCATCCTCAGACTCAATGAGACATGCTGGGAATGTTCAGATCAAGAGAAAAAAAAAAAAGGTGAGAAATACCTTTGTTACAGGTTCTGGTGGCATTTACACAGTGACAGTGCTCAGCAGAGACAAGGCTGGGGTGTCCCTGTGTGTGCCAGAACTTGAGGTGTCTGCAGGGAACAGCAGGTGAAAATGTGAACACCCCCAGGACTAGTGGTGAGCTGATGTTCTTTCTGATTTTTAAAACCTGTAAATGGCTTTGTTCCACTCTAACTCCATAAGGGTCACCTGTGAAATTATTCACAGCAGACATGCATTTATATCAAGTCTCTTTCTACCCTTTTCCCCACTATTCACACACACACACAGTGCTCTCACTCTCTTGCAAGGTTAAAGAACTGTTGTTTTTTACCCAACTATGACAAGAGCAGAATTCATGTGACATTTCTGAACTGTGTTCTCATGCTGTCAGTCAGTTTATATGGCTGTCCATCTGCATCTCATGTTGGCTTGACCTGGCTAGTCCAAACCTTATTGTGTTGCTTTGGGGTTTTTTTCTTTCTTTTCACTGTATTTTCTCTCTTTTTTATGCTACTATTTCATTTATGACCTTTGAGGAACCTGTATTTTAAACTTGGTTACGTGAACTACATCACCTGCAATCACCAGTGAAGAAAGAAGTTGGGGTTTTCTTTGTTCCATGAAATAGTACCAGGGTTGTGGGAGGAAAGAGGAGGCTTGGGAAAGCCAAAAAGCAGGAATATTACACAAGTTTATGATAAGAAGAAGTTAGGCAACTACCATTACCAGAAGAGGGAAGTGCAACTTTACTAAGGTGCCCCAGTTGTGTAAAGCACAGTGGAAACTAAATTATTCCAAAGTCTTGTTCCCCATCCATGCCACAAAGACACTGAAACCTGACTGAATGTGTTATTTGGTTTAAACCAATTTAGTTTATTAGTTCCAATAGTTTCACAATGGTTTAAAAATGCCAAGACTTTGCATATTAATGTAAAAAAGAATGTTCTCACTCTTTACTTGTTTTAAAGTGAAATCAGCACAAACAAGTGGTAATTCCTTAGCAAATGGTATGACAGAGAGAAAATTACTCTGAAAGTGATTCAAAAGGATGTAACCTGAAAACCTGTTTGAACAATTATTTGGGTCGGTTCTTTTTCTTCCCCAAATTAGTGTGAGTAGATAAAACCATGATTTTCCTGAAATACTAATTTCTGTGAGGGATGGCATTAAAGGACAAATGAGACAATTTTAAGATCCTGAGCTAATGAATTCAGATGTAATTATTTATGTTATTCGTATTTGATTTTTCAAAACCTATGATCAGCCTGTGAATGTGAGACGATGGCACGACAAAGCTTAATGGTGTCAAATTTAACACTGATGAGCAGAATTTTTCATTCCCTGCTTATGAACCATCTGTCATTAAAAACATTTGGAACCCAGCAGCAATAATCTAGGATTTATTTTCATACTTATTAGTAAAGGAATTAAAGCTGATAGTTCTAATAAGAGGCAGCGAATAACTCTTCCCTGTGTTCTGGTGGCTTTTTAGCACTTGGTCCTTATCGGGTTTACTTGTCCCATTCTTAATCTCATCAGCCGCATTTCCACTGCCCAGACTGTCAAAGGAACACCAAGTGCTGCAGATAAAATGCTCGAGGTGTAAAAAGCTCCTGCTCAGAAGCTAAATCAGAATCACATGTCAACACAGTTCAGGCTCAGGCTCTGGCAGGACGGTTGGATCATTGTTTTTAATGCAATTTACTAATTAAAAACGAGTCCCAGATTACGGAAAGTCTGGAATGAAGCGGCTTACTAAAATGGTGGTTTAGCGCCTTGAACTGGCTACAGCAGAGTCTGCTCGTCATTAAACTGTAATTCAGCTGAACATTGCTCGGCAATTGCCAAACGCTTTTCCGACAAGAACCACCGGGGTTTCTGTGTCACAATCGTCCCCCCGTGTTTCGGCCGGGGCTGTTCGAGCGCCGGGGGCGATGAGCGGCAGGTGTATTTTATTCGGCAGATGTACAGTAAACGCATTACAGCAGATTAGCTGGATTTCTTCCTTTAAATGTACACTGCGAGATCCAAGTTGCCAGCCAGCTGTTTCTTATCGGCCCGTGTAATCTCCCCGAGCCCGGCTTTGCCTCTTTCTCCCGCAGCTATTTCTGTAGCGGGTCGGGCGAGCGAGAGCGCCGCTATGAATTTTAATGTTTCCACTGGGGAATCCCTCCCGCCTCCTCTTTTTGGATGAGATCCTCGAGGAAGGACCCAGAACACAGCGAGGAGGCGGAGGAGGAAGAGGAGGAGAGGGCCGGCGTAGCCGCGATACTGGGGGGAGCCGCGGGGTGTGATCAGGGGCCGTGGCGAGGCGGGCAGGGGTGGGAGCCATGGGCAGGGAAGGATGGCTCGGGGCGTGTGTCGCTGCCTGACCGCGGCACGGCAGCAGCGGCAGCAGCCGGAGCAGCGCGGCCCCGCCGCCGCCCCCGCACAGATGCACCCGCCGGCATCCCCCGGGGCCGGCCGCGACCTGCACAGCGCCGAGGCGATCCCGCCGGCTCCGGGCGACGGGCAGAGCCCGCGGACCGGGCGCTGAAGCCGCCTCGCCACCCGCACGAGAGGAGGAGCCGCGGGTGCCGCGCCAGCCGCCGGCCCCGCCGCCGCTCCCGCCGGCGCCCCATGGATAAGGCGGGCTCCCTGCACAGCTCGGTGCCCGCGCCGCCGCCCCGGCTCTACCTGCCGCGCAACTTCAGCTGCAGCGCCTGCCTCTATGGCAGCCTGGCCGAGCAGTGCAGGGCGGGCTGCAGCCCCGACGGCGACGCCGCGCCCACGCCCGTGGTGCGGGAGGCGGCGGGCGAGAAGCCGCCGCAGACGCGGGGCCGGGAGCCCACGCTGCCCGCCGTGCCCCCCAGCCCCACGCAGCGCCGCCGCGCCAAGTCGCTGCCCACGCCCGGCGACCGCAGCCTGCGCCCCGCGCTGCAGCACAGCCCGTCGCGCCGCAAGACCGTGCGGTTCGCCGACTCCCTGGGGCTGGAGCTCACCTCCGTGCACCTCTTCTGCGAGGCCGACCTGCCGCGGGTGCCGCTGCCCGCGCCGCCCACGCCGCGCCCCGCAGACCTGCTCAAGACCAGGAAGCCGCCGGCCCTGGGCGACCTGGAGCCGGTGCTGTTCGGGCCGCCGCCGCCGCTGCTGGAGCCGCTGTTCCCGCCGCAGCCCGGAGCCAGCCCGGGCTTCGTGGAGCGGGTGCGGCAGCACAAGGTGAGGCTGGAGTGGGTGCGGGCAGAGCCCGCGGGGCTGCGCGGAGCCGTGCGCGTCCTCAACCTCGCCTACGAGAAGGTGGTGTCGGTGCGGTACACGCTCAATGGCTGGGCCAGCTGCGCGGAGGCTCCCGCCGCGTACCAGCCGCCCGGGCCGCCCGACGGCATCACCGACCGCTTCGCCTTCCTGCTGCCCCTGGGCGCTGCCGCCGCCGCCGAGGCCACGCTCGAGTTCGCCGTCCGGTACCGCGTGGCCGGGGCCGAGTACTGGGACAACAACGAGGGCAAGAACTACCGGCTGCGGGCCCGGCAGCGCCTCCCGCCCGGCACCGGCCTCCCGCAGGACCCCGACAGCTCTGCCTGGATCCACTTCATCTGAGCCGGGGGCCCGGGCGGATTCCCCCGCCCGGAGGCTGCCCCGCCGCCTCCCCGAGAGCCGCCGGGAGGGCTTTTCCCGAGTCCTGTTCCCAGCGGGGTGATTTGGCTTTCCGGGGTCGCTGGCGATGCCGGGGGACCCTCGCTCGCCTCACGGGGGGTCGGGCGCGGGTTCCCCTCAGTTCGCCGGGCGCTGTGGCGGCCACCAAAGCAGCGTCTGCCGGGGGGGGCTCGGGGGATGGGCGGGATTGACCGGCCGGGACCGGGATCCATGGATGCACATGCTTCCAGGTGCCGGAGGGGCTGCTGTCGCCTCAGCAGGTGACACGGAGGGCAGGGTCACAGGGCATCCCTCCAGCCGTCCCATTTGCCTAATCCTGCTCAAGCAAAGCCCGGCTCGGCGAGGGGCTGGATCCGCGCTCACCCTCTCGTGTGAGTTTGGGGTTAAGGGCCTCATAGTGGAGGACTGAGGGACAGATTAGTTTGCAACCCAAAAGGACAAGAGCAGGGATGCCCCAAGGTGTAGCTGTGTTTCATCATGCTGTAAAAATGTTTGGTTTAAAGCAAAGATTTATTTTTTTTTTCAATTTTGAACCCTATTTCGTGTGTTTAAACATACTTAGAAAGCAAAAAAAAAAGAGTCACAGCCTAATTGAAATGCAATTCACGGAGAGATTTTAAAAAGAAAGTGTTTTGGCTTAGGATCGTGTGGTATGTTGGTGGAAGGGGTTGGCAGGGTCTGGTGTTTGTTTCTGTAGGATTGGGCCCGTAAGGCTGCTTGTGTTCAGGTCAGCAGGAAAGTCATGGGATTGCACTGAGGGAACTAGAGACAGCAAGAGTTAAATCCATAATTCTGGTCTGCATCACAAGCAACACTTTCATTTTTATTCCTGTTGACAGTTTAACTTAATTTCTTAAGGTGTGTCAGGGCAGGAACCTCCTTTCTGAAAAATTAAGTGCTCCAAATTTTTCCTAATAATTTCAGTAAGCAACAGATTTCACAAATCTGGCAAAGTTTAGTCAGACAAATTGAAGAAAGTTGCACCTTGCCGTATGAAAATACATCAATAGAAATCATGGAGTATGCTGACTTCTGCCTTCAAAGGTATGTTTTAAATATGTTTTTAAATTCTATTAGCAGTAAACATAGCATTTTCCTTTTAAAACTCAGATTTTCAGGAGTTCAGCTGAGTACAGGTTGTGCTGGTGCCAAATCTGGGTGCTCATTTTCCAGGACCGAGGGGGGTGTGTGTTTGCAGGAGAGGGACCTCTGCAAATACAACTTCTGAGAGTGGCAAAACCAATGTCAGCGTGATCTGCTGGTTATGAAGGGCTGTAAGGTCAGGCCTTTGAGGTTTTGGACCTTCTGTACATTGTTAATGAATGAAATGTGATTTTTATCTTCATTTTTATGTTCCTTGAAAGAGTTAAGTGTCCCAAGCAGCTTGAGTAATGTCTGGAGTAATGAGTTCTCACAGAACCTTTTGACTTCGGTGGGAATTGAGAGTACTTTTGTCTCCTGAGGGTTGGGTTCAGTCAGAATAATTAAACTTCGAAATTCTGGGGGAAAAAGAGGTCTGGAAAGTTGATGGGAAAAGAGTATTTAATTTAATTTCTCTGGATCACTGTATCTGATTTAATGGAAGTAATAACAGGACTGCTTTCTGTAGTACTGGTAACTTGGTTTTAATTTCCCAGGCAGTTTTCTAATCCTTGTGTTTTTAATAAAACAGAATATAAGAGAAATGTACTGTCAGCATCTCCTGAGGATTTCCACATTTTAGAATATTAAGGTCCCCATCTTGTAATACAGTAATCCTATAAGTTGCTAGAACATGGATATAAAGCTAGAATTGCACAAGTAGGGTCTTAAAATGCTCATGATTAAAGCATATGAAGTGGTGTATTTGATTAAAAAAAGCCCAAGTGTCTTTTAGTTGAAATTATATTTTTTCATAAGAGCCTTAATACTGGAGAGAAGGAAAAGGACTTGTCTCCATTTGAAAGCACTTTGAAATCTGTAGAAATACAGCAAGACATCTTTTATTTATGTGTTAGAGCTTTCCAAAGCACTTTTTGCTTGGCCTTTTTCACCCAAAGAGTGAACCAATAGCTGGATGGTTGGAAAGACTAAAATGCTTGGAGAAAAAAGTAGTTTCTGTGCATTTTAGGTCAACTGATGCTGCAAGTTTGCTCATGAAGTTCTAACAAGATTCCTGTTTACTGTTTCAATGGCTTTAGAAACACAAACAGGGCTAAAACCATTTTTAACAGTGAATAATTCCAGAACTCCAGTTTATTATTTTCCAGTGAGTGGCAGTTTTCATTGTCATTTGATTTATGCAGCATCTATCTATCTCTAAAAATTCTCTAAAGGTCTCTAAAAAGTTTTTAAAATCTCCTTCTAACACCTGTGGCTTAAACTCTTTCAACTTGGGATACCCAAGTGGATTACATGCACCAAGTACACTGGGAGGTTGTTGTGCTACCCTTTATTTTTTATCACGATTTAGGTGAAATTACTGTTGCTCCTGGTTGAAATTTTGCAGTCAGAATTGGGCTGTGGCTTTACAATACTGTTCAAAGGTCACTGTTCTTTTATTTATGGCTGCCTTTGCCACAGACAGATCTGAATATTAAAACTTCTGGGGCTGTGGAACACCAGAAGAATGTCCTGTGAAACAGTTCTCCTGAGCTTTCAAGCAGTTCAGCCTGACCTAAACGTGAATTTTGTGAGTAATTTCAGGGGCTTGGACTTGATCCCAGATTATGGATAACATACATGGAAGTCCAGTAACAGACATGCCCCTTCTAGAAGCATTTAGGAACAGCTCCTTTTCCAAGCTGGAAAGGTGAGGCTGCACCAGCAGCTTTGACTGGAGGATGCTCTTGATGAGCTCTGTGGAAGAAGATTGAGGTGTTTTAATAGAAATTATCAGTGGTATATGCCAAAGTTGCACCTCTTCAATTACACATTTGCTGTTCTATCACATGAATTTATTTCCAAGCAAGACCCACTCAGATTTCCAACCACATGTTTTGGTTGCCCTGGCCATGAGTGTTTTGTCCCTTGGCAACATTCCTGTAGCTTCCAGTCCCTTAGATTTCAACCTGATGCCATCTATGTGTGGCTTGCTGGAAGCATGGTGATAAATGGAGATGAAATGAAAATATCAAATGGTATTTATATAATATTTACATAAACTTTGAGGAGAAAAAACCACATTTTTAACCATTTTTAAGTTGGCAGGACACCCATCCTTTTAATGGGAGGACGAGCAAAACTGCTTTTTAAAATCATATTTCTGAAGAACGTTGTTCAGCAGAAAGAACTTTCACAAGCAAAGTAAAATATTTGAAGATTTTTCAAGCCAACCTTCTGCTGGAAACATGTCACCTCTTTGTATTTTTATTTGCATGGATGGAGCTCATGGCACCTCCCTTTCCAAGTGATTGCAGAGTGGTTTAGGCAAGGCCATGATCCTTGGGTCCTGTGCTTCACTCTGAAGTGAATTATTCACTGCTTATATTTCTGCAGATGTAAAAGTGTGTCTGACATTTCTGGTGCAAAGCTGTAGCTTTATGGGACGTGCCATGTTATTGTATGTGCACTATAATGTTAATTTATACAGCCAGTCAAGTTGTACTGTATGTCTGACAGGGATGTTTGCTGCTTCCCACTTGAACTGGCAGGTTTTTGCATGTGATTCCATGCCTTTCATGGCACTATTTTGGAAATTTACCCTAATTATTAGAGAGCCTAAAAGGACTCAGAACTACTGACTGTAAATGGAATTTCAGCTAGCTAAGCATATTATTTATGAGCATAAAACTGAAACTGTCCTACTTGTTTTCAATAAGTGCACACGATTTCAGGTAAATTAATTTTTTTTTTTAACCTTTTACCACTTGCTAGCAACTTTTTGCTGTGAATGTGTGTGCCTCAGAATATCAGAAAGCAACAGAATAAGTGCACACTCTGTTGTTTCAGCAGATGTGAGGGGAAAATGGATCACTTGAATGAACAGATGTCTGCTCATGCAGAAGCATCACCCCTTTACAGAGACATGAAATGTTTTTCCATAGAGCCAACAGGCAAGCAGCTGCTAATTTTAATAAAAAGTAGCCCTACAGAAATAGTCAGAATCTGATATTTAACATATTATTGAGTATATATTAAAATTTTTACGTGCCTTTCAGCATTTCCTAGGAAGAAATCTCCCGTGTTCCTTAGCTCTCCCACCAGAAGTCCAATAAAGACTTTGTCATTAAAATGAAATTTATACTAAAATATAATAATCTCTTCTAATTCCTGACACATTCTCAGCTGTGCCAGACATCCTGAATCTGTAGCAGCAGGAAGAATTTGATTATGTTTTCCCATATTACAACGAAAGAAATGTCAGTCAGAAATATGTCTTCCTGATACACCTCTACAATTGTGTAGTTAATTTAAAAAAAAAAATCTGTGACTATAGTTGATATAACAAGATATATTTATTGTATATATTCACCTCTTGCACAGATATTCTAAATATATATTCTGTCTGAAACCAGAAGTTCTAGTTTTTTATGAAATCTGTTTGTGGAGACGTGGTCTCTTCAGCTCTTACTGTTATTTATCTGATGCTGCATAATGAGTATCATTAAAACTTTGGGATGGATTTTATCTGTCTGCAGACGTCATATCATGACATTAAAGTGCTCACTGCAGGGAGGAGCTGAAGAAAATTACTTTTACCTTCCAGTTCCACTGCATGGCTTTTTGGGAAATCCTCAGTGCACGTGTTTGGAGAGGATGGAAGGATTATTGAATGACTGAAACTCTTTTTTGAGCACTGAAATGAAGGTTTCTCCATCATAAATAGTTTAAGGCAAGAAGTAAATGTAGTCAATGTTGTTGTAAAATGAATCCCTCAGCCTTATGTGGAGCTGGTCAGTGTTTTGTTTGGAAGGGAAGGTGAACATGAAACATGTTCAGGGAAACACACCTGTTTCAAAGGAAGGTTTTTCTCAGGTTCAGCTTATTAGAGAGAATTGCCCCAAAATAAATAAGATTACATCCCTGTACGGACTTGAATGTAGGTCTTCCATGATCAGAGTGGATGCTGAGCTATAAAACCATTGGCTATTGCTTGGATTCTTTCTTTATCCAACCTATAAATATGACTTTTTACTTTACAGAGAGGAGTTTTGACCCTGAGTTTCCCCATCTCACGGGAATATCCTCTTCATTCAGCTCTACCATTGAGAGAGGTCTGATTTTAATTTTATGCCACATGAGAAGATTATTTTCCATTATATTTTTGGAGGGGAAGGCAGGAAAACTGTTTTCCTTGAGGTTTTAGTTTTATAACATGAAACAGTAGCATGCAGCCTGAAAATTGCTTGAAATAACATATGCACTAGTGATTCCAAAGAATATAGCTAAGAGAAATGTCCAGTGTGAGATGTGCTTTTTTAAAAACATATGTGCTTTGGTCTAGTAAGGCAGGGAGAAAGTCCTAGTCTCCAGTGCAAGTGTATTAATGCCAGGGATTTCTTTCTATGCAATTCTATGGTGCACCTGGGTTTTTTTAGGGGTTAACTTGACTGGTGTAGTTGATGTTATCAGTGTGTCGTGTATAGAATATTCTGTTAAAAGTGACATTAAGGAAATTGTGTGTCTTAAATGGTGTTATAACTTTAGGCTCTTTTTTTTTTTTTTTGTCCGATCTGACTTCACTAAATCATAATAATGCTCCTCTTTAAAAGTACCAAGACAATATTTCATCAAACTGCATAACCAAGGCTCACACATTACACTTTAAACCACCTTCTAGGACAAAATGCTGTGTTATTGTTGTGAGTTTTAAACATTTTTTTGTATTTCTCTATCTTAAAAAAGCCAAATTGTATTATCCTTTTAAACTCAAGGAGCTAATGTGTACGTTTTTAAAGCTGATCAAAAGCAGTAAAACTGAACTTGGTTGGGATTACTCATAAATCCAGTTTCTAAACTGTGGCACAACCTGTCCTGACTCCAGGGAGGTGCACCCAGATGTGAAGTTCAGGTATTTTAAGGTTGATCCAAGCTGAGCTCTGCCTGGCTGCAAAACCTGCCAACATCTGGACATGAATCCATGTTGTAACCCAGGAAAATTCTGCTGTGACAGAGAATTAGAGTTCTTGGAATGGTTTGAACAAACCTAACTCCTCCCTTGTAGTGTCACACCAACGATTTCTCTCTGTAATGGAGATTCTGTCCTGTTGAGGGGAGTGTTCTTTGACATGCAAGTTTTTAATGCTGTTTCTTTGATTTAACTTTGTTTTTTTAAAAAAAAAAATGTTACTTGACTGGTAAATTACTTTTGGTTGTAGTGTCTTCTGCGATGTTTTTATCTCACCAAACAATGTTTGTTTCTAATGTTTGTAAAAAAAAAAAAAATGTAATATCACCAGAAGTCAAAAATCAATGTTTTCTAATAATGCCTTGTAACTTACCCAGCCTTACAGTATTTCAGACAATTTTCCACCAAAACCGCATCTAGTCACTGGTTGTCACAATTATGAAAAATATATATATATTTATAAACCTGTAGCTTCTAGCTGCCATTAAAGATTAATGATACAAATCACAAGCATGTGGTGAATACAAACCTCTTTTTTTTTTTTTTTTTTTTTTTTGGAGCTGAAAAACCATGATTTTTTTTTTGTTGGGGATCTGAAACAATTGTGTTCCAATGCATCTGCTGTGCTTGTGTGAAGACATGTTGGGATGTACCTGCACATCTGAAGCAGATATCTGATATTTGGGGCCAGGTTTTCTGCCAACCTGTCTTAGGAGGGTTCTCAGCGGAAGCTGCACTTCGAGTTCTGTTGTTAACTGGTCTTGTAGGAATATTTTCATGTTTGAAGGAGACAGGGTGGGATTATCAGTGGGTGTAAATGTAATGTGGCTGCTTTTCTTTAACCAGTACTTTTAAAGCCTTTTTTATAATATGGGTAAAAGCCACATGGCCACGAGGAGAAAAAAATGTTTTGTGTTTATTCTCATGTAATTTGTACAACTTATTTTTCTATCCTCTTTCAGAAACATCTGCTCGGCTGTCTCATTAATAATATTTTTTTTTTGCATGTGTTTCTTTGGAAGGGCAAACTAATTAAAATTAGCCCTAGATTTCTTTTTTTCCTTTTTAATTTTTTCCTTCCCCAGAGGGAATGCGTTCTGAGTTAACATCTACCTTATCTTTCCGTTCAAGGAAAAATGAACTCTTAGCCCACATAAATGACAGAATCTAGAATTGTTTTCTGAAGGTGCCATAATATAAATATTAGATTGTAATAGTTAGAATAATAGAGGGTAATTTCCCTTTTGTTTGGTGAGGCAGATGCTTTGAATTTAAAACTGCTTTTATGCTTGAGCGACCTTGAAGTAATGAGATTACAGTTCAGAGTGAAATTGTAATGAAGTCATGGTGGTCTAAAAAAAAACAAGAAAAGGAATAGTTTCACATTGTTCTTTAGTCTTGGATTAATTTTCATTTTTTTCACTCTTGAATGGGACAAAATATGACTATGGTAATTCATCTGATGATTAATCAGAATTCTGTAATGTAATGTGCAGTATTCAGACAGTTTTACTGTCGATAACAAACTCCATTTCCTAATGTCCCTCTCTGGCTGTTTCTTGGAGTCCACCAACAGTTTTTGGTGTGACCAATGAGTTGAACTGGCTCAGGGGATGTGTGGAATGCCAGGGCTCTCTTCAATGAGGGCTTGGCACCAACAGAGGCAGCAAGAGTGAGGAGGATCAGGGACAGAGGGCAAGGCCAGAGAGGAGGAACAGGGAGCAAGGGCCTGGTCTTTCAGCCTCAGGGAGCTGGGAGATCAGCTCAGATTCTCCTGCAACCTCATCCCAGGAGCTTGGGCTGTTGTCATGACTGAGAGCTGCGGTCCCAACCCCTCCCTGACCTCTGGATGAATGTCTCTTCTTCTTTGGAACACTTCATGTATCCAGGGGCAGATAGGGAGGAGAAATAGGGACTGGCTGTGCTGCTTCCAAAGCGTGTCCCTCTGCAAGATTCCCCAGCAGAAATACTACTGCAGGTCAGATAGAAGCAGAAATATATCAAAACACCACGTTGTCCTTCAGTTACTCTTTAAACCTATGGAAGGTGAGGGGAGTTGACAACAAAACATTCCTATCAAAGCTTTGAACAGCTGAATTCTCTTTTATATTTAACACATTTACCAGGGCAAGCTGGTGCAAGAAATGCCCCTTGGCCTAATAGAAAGCTGCAGAACTGTTTCAGTGGTAGATGGGGGTGATGAATTGCAGGAAAAAAATGATGTGCAATGGTGATATTATCACCAGTTTTATCACTGGCTTTGCCTTAGCAGTTGTGGCACAAGGGAGGGCTTCTCAGAACAGCCAGGAGTTGCCAAGAACACTTATTTCTGTTGTTTTCTCTTGATCCAGACCCGTGTAGTGAAGAAGGGAGGTGAGTGATGGCTGCACAAAAGAAGTACTCTTGGGTCTAAGAAGTGCAGACTCATCCTCCTGCCTTGTGGATTGACCTTCATGGTCAGAGAAAGGTGTAAGTGCTGCACTTCCACTAAAATGCATCTCGAAGCAAAATACATTCAAGAGCATAAATAATTGAATGCTATAACCAAATGACAAATAAAACAGCCTAATAGCAAAGGATGTAGGGTGCTTGTACTGCATTAAAATAGATCAGGTCTGAAGTGACTGAATTATGCTTTGTCAGGGAGAGAGAAACATCAATATTGTGAGGCAAACTCTGACCCATCCAGATACCACAGACTCAGTTCTCTGCCAAGGACTGTTCTTAGACTGTGCCTGAAGTAGTGTGGGCAAAGTGGAGAAAATTACATTAAGGACACTCCTAAGCTCCTCTCCAAATTTGTCTGTGCCATCTGCAGCATATCTTGCTGGTAATTCATGCTGATGGATATTGCTCGAGAGTCTTGTACTCTCGTCTCACATCCATGAGGTCCCATTCCCCGGGAATAACTTGCCAAAGGATGTTGTTTTCCATTAGTTCAGCCACATGATGATGGGGGGAATAAAACGAGGCTTAAGTTAATTCCTTTGTTACATGTCGTGCTGTGAGAAGTGCGTTTTAAACGTTTTCAGCGAAGCAAGATGTGCTTAATATTTTTCCTGACCTTGCAGTTGCCTCACGGGCAAGTGAGTGACCTCGAGGCTGAGGTGTCACTGCTGAGGTGTCACTGTGACCTGGGGACCAGGCTGGGCGTTCCTCGCCCCGTCTGTAAAGATTTGAGTGCCACCGTGTGGTGAATTCAGGAGGCGATTTCCATTTTTAATTGCGGTTATTTGGATCAGCACAGGTCACCGTTCATGACCTGAAGCATTCCACCCACGGGTGACATCCTGGTATTTATTGATTTTGCGATATTCCTGGGGTTTCTTTCTCTTCTCCAAAATATCTTGTGCAGGGGGGTGCAACTTCTGTGTGATCTCCCCACATCCCAGCTTTAAGCAAAAGAACATCCATTCTCCAGCTGTACACCATGAAAGGTTGAATTTCAGATTTTTTTTTTCAGACAGTTGTCATTTACCCACACTCATGTACTTAAACTGCTAATACAGTTTAAATGGGCGAAGTTTAAGGAAGAGACCAGATTTGCCAGTTTTTACTGTTCTCCAGGTCCCTTAGGGCATTACAGAAATTACTATTTTACTGATCAAAATGAAAGAATACAAACGTTTTTTAAGGGAAAATGGTATAAAAATGCATTACAATGCTCTGGAGTAACCTTTAAAGGGAGATTCACAAGGGTCATGTATTACATGGCAATAAATGATGGGCCTGTTGCTCTCTAAAGCTGGGGGAAAAAAGTGGAGGAAACAGTATCAAATAGGAATATTTTCCTGTATTCCTACCTCCATTTGCCTGAACTTGCTGTGTTGGACACAAACTTTCCCTTCCAAAGAGCATGGAGGGGATGAGGGGGGTGGGTGGAAGATCCCAACTGACGCAGGGAGTCTGTAAGAGGCCAGGATCAAGCTCCCAGCTCTCTGGGCCCTGGATGTTGTCACAATAAATACTGCATGGCAGCGTGAATAATGGATAAGTACTGAGGGTTTTTAAAACATTTACACCGGGTTTACAAGAGCCTTTTGTTTAATCAACCACTGCCAAGTCAGAATTCCTATGGACCAGTCAAAACCCCTCTTGCCCCTTAGTCACTGTGCACTTTAACTCCTGTGGTGATGATGGAACTGTATTGAAGACACAGTTGATTCTCTCTTGGCAGGGCTTTGATCTGTGACTTGTGTAGGGAAAATCTTCTCCTAAGATTTAAAGCAAAAAAAACCAACCAAACCAATTATTTTGACATCCCTTCAGATCATAAAAGAAACTCTCTTTTTACACATTAGAGAAGTTTCTGTATGACCAGCAGTGCATTTCTGCCTTTTAGAAGGGCTGTGATTCACAACCTTTTCGAAGAAGGAACTTTCAAAGGAATATGGATTTTGCCTGATACAAATTAAGCATTCCCCTGCTTCCTCTTAGATCAACTTAGTTTCGTGCTTAGCTGCTAACAACCATTTTAAAATTGTGGAAAGAAGTTTTACACCAAAACTCTGTGGTATTATTGTGTTTTCCTGAAGTGCAGGTGTGTGCAACTCAACCTCACCCTCAGATGTCACATCAGCTTTGAGTGCACAGTTGTGGGGTTGTGAAATATTCAGTTTAATGGCATCAGCTGCTTTGGTTTACTGGTTTGCAAAGGGAGTTTTGGTTTCAGTTGCCTACTTGCTACAGACACACGTGGATAGATGACGTGTCAAACTATTGCTGATCACACAATTTACACAAGTCTCTGCTCTTCTGAAGTCACCACAAGATGTAGAATCAGTTCCTTAATTATTTGTGTCTTATGTAGTGTTCACTGGGCAAAAACACAGCCTAAATAATCCACCCTAGAACCTTGAAAAACTATCATTGCATGAGCTTTGCATACTAAGAAAGCACAGAAATGGGAAGACAAGGCCCAGACCTGCTGCCTCCCAGGCATAATTAACTACATAACAGTTGATTATGTAGTAAAACAAGAAGTGAAAATAGAGGATTAACAGATTCTGTAAAGAAGTAAAAATCACACAGAGAGGTAGCTGATATGGCTTCTCCTTTTTTTTGGCATCATCTTTGCAACTCTAAGTAGGAAGAATATGAGGAGATGAGGGAGACACTGCTTTTCCACATCTTGGGAACAATAAAAAGGTATTTCAGGGAAAGCTGTAGTCCAGGTTACAAGAAGAGTCATGTTCCTGCCACAAAATTACCATATTAAGGCTGTTGTTACTAAATTTGATGTCAAATAAATCTCAGGAAGTGTATATTTTAGCCAATTTTGTTTCCCCAGAACATTCTGAAGTCACATGAATCACACAACAGAATAAAACCCCCTCTCAAGTACACAGATGTGGAACAGCTTTATCACTGCAATTATTTATGGTCTTGTGTATGTGATCATAAGTGGTATTTTTCAGGTTGCCAAGTCTGGATATTCTGTATTTCCTCAAGTGATGACAAACTACACTGAAATATTTTATATGAATTTATTTCATTATTCCAGCTCAGTCCTCAATGGATTTTATGTATTTCTCATAGGCATCTTCAGTCATCAGTTCATCAAGTTCAGCAGGGTTTGCCACAGTCATCTTGATAAGCCAACCTGTGGTTAGGAAATTAAAAAGAAAGAGTTGCTAATATCCTACAAGGAAGATTCATTCATGTTCCTGCCTTAGGAAAGCACTCCCAGCAGCACATCAGCACTGGATCACCAGAGAATCAACTGGATTTTTGTGCAGGCAAAATAACATTTCAGTATTTTAAAAAAAAATCAACAGCCAACCAACCTGCCATAAGAAATGGCCTTTTGAGTCAGATCAATTGTCTAATTTAGTGCTGGCTCTGACAGTGGCATTAAGGGGACACTGTCTGGGAAGAATAGAGGAGCCTGACCCCTCAGGATCATGAGCTGGTACAAGATCCAAGAAACAGAAATGCAGTCAAGGGAAATACATTTAAATTCAACCACAGTCTGTGTCTGAAAAGAACCCACTGTAAAACCCTTGTCAGAGACAAGGCTGTGATAATGCTCTCATGTTAAATTTCACTGGGCTTGAACTATATTCAATTCAATATATTCCATTTAAGTCTCCACACCATTAAACTGGAAGAACAGGAATTGCAGAGCCATTTGTGACAGCAATAATCTCAGAGGTATTCCTTATTGGAAGATAAAAATGACATCTTACCATCTTGATAACAAGATTTATTGACAAGCCCTGGATTATCTGCAAGGGCACTGTTAGTCTCAGTTACTTCTCCTGTGAGAGGAGAGTAGAGTTCACTAGCAGCTTTCACACTTTCCAAAGCCCCAAACTCATCTGAAACAGAGAATAGGATTGAATGTTTTTAAGAGGAAAACACTGAGCACTTCAGTTCTTTTAGTCAGATGTTCTGATGATGATCTAACCAGTGAAATGTCTTGATCTTGAGCAAGAAAATCTGTCAAATAATCTGTCACCCACTTTATGACAACGATCAGCAGTATTAAATTTGATGTTTATGCCCCTGAATTATTCTGGGGAATGTGCCCAGCACTGGCTGCTACAGAAGGGACAGAAATCCCTACATTTGGTGAATCCTTTGGCTAAAGCCCCACAGCACGTGAGAGGATATCAGGTTAGAAGGAACAACATCCAGCCCTTGCTGCACGAGACCTAAACCTGCCCTTTATCTACAATTTAAACCTTTCTATACACAACTTGGTTACAAAATAAACACAGCCACAGTTTCAGGAATCCCACTTTTCCTTCAGAAAGGCTATCAAGTGTTGTACCTGCACTCACTGGAACACACACAGTAGTATTGAGAAGCCCCACGCTGGGAGCACCCAGCAGCTCTTCCCTTTCTCCTGTTCTGTGGGAAAGGGTGCCTGGAGCAATGTCAGCCCAGAGCAGCTCTAAGCCAAACAAGACAGAGGCTGAAGGAGCTGTCAGAAGAGTAGATAGGCATCAGCACAAGGGGGCTGAGAACAGCTTGTTCTGGGAAAGCTTGGAATTAGACTAAGGCCAGAACGAGGAGAAAAGAGGAGAACTTCAAAGGAAACGGAATTCCTTCAGATAAAGCAAAACTACAAGTTGGTTAATTAAAATCCTAAACAGAAGGACTTTTTGTCTAAGGGTCACCATTCAATGTGATGCAATGGATTTGGCCAAAACAGTCTGATACAACCTCTTCCACAGGAAGGATGGCAGAAGAAAGGCCTCCTACTTTACCTCATAATCTACATTCCTTTTTTGCACTCCTGACAATCCTTCCTTCATATCCTAGTGAGGCAGCTCCCTGTGTGACACAGGAAAAGGCTTTTCCTTTCTACCTGTTAATGCTCCCTCTTCTTTAACATGCAAAATTACAGAACTGAATGGTGAAGAATGTAACAATTTGTACATTGCTAAGGAGCAAAACCCTGTGATTACATCTGATACCCCAAAATTACTGAGTCTGGATATTTGTGGAAAAATTAGGGTTTGATATCAATTAAACGTTTCACATCGTGCAACTCACAAATGTGTTAACTGGAGAAGTACAAATAAACACTTGCAAGTCCAAATTAAAGCATAAATATCTTAAAAACAGATTACACACAAAATTATTAAAAGAAATATTTCAAATATTTTATTTTTTAATAAATTTCTTCACAGTTCAAGCAGCAGGTATTTTCTGCTACCAAGCACTGTCTGACAGAATTTGAAATTAAAGCAGCCTCTTGTAGAAATACTGGAATTTATTTTGCATCCAGAAGCTTTATAATGGTATTAATGACCATAAATATTAATTCATAAAATTCATCTTTGCAAAGTAAGGGTGGGATGAGTTAGAATAATTACTTCATTAGCAACTAGAGCTGAAACTCACCGTGTTTACTCAATTTTGTCCCAATTTCTGGAAGACTACAGTAAACAACGTCTCCTAATGCTTCCTTAAAAGAAAACAAAAGCATACCTTAAGGAAAGTATACACAGCAGAGAGCTGATACAGTAACTCTGGAATGTGTGAATAAGCACTCTCTAGATTTAGTTCTCATCTTTAAGCATTACATGTTTTTCACTTCTTCTTTTTAAACACTTAACATGAAAAAACTGGATTGTTTTATCGTGCCCCAAATGCCAAATTACTGCTTCTCTATTACAGTGCTAATAACCCTCAGGCTCAGTTTCTATGCAGATTCCTTCTGGTAGAATGAGGAATAACATCTGCTCACCTTCTTAGCATCAGTTACAGTAACAACTGTTTCAAAGGACAAAGTTCCCAGTGTTTTGAGGGAATTATCTTTTTGTTACAAAGCACAGAGGATTTACTTCCAGTGCAATCTGAAAGAAGGTTCAATGATTCCTTCGCAGAGACAGGGACACCTGGAGAGCTGTTAGCACACAGTTTGCCATTAATGGCTTAATTGGGACACTTATCACCGTAAGAATTGGCTCAGGTACCCTATCTCACCAAAGAGCAGGGATCTCAAATGTTATCCACAGAGAACTGAGATCACAGGAAATGCTGCTTGTCCTAAGAAACATTAATTCCACCTCTTCACAGTTTGTCCCATTCATTTTTCTCACCCAGCGAATCTCTGTCCTGAATTTGCCTGTGGCCATTCCAAATCAATAACCTGCACCAGACCAAAACAAAAAATCCAAAGGAACTCCTGTGCTTGCATGAGAGGTATGTGCCATGTTGTGCATCGATTCACAACTGTTCTTTAGCCAGAGGGATTTCACCATGGGAAATCTGACCTAAAAAAGCACATGATGTCCCCTTCACACAGCCACCAACGGCTCAGGCCTAGAAGAACTGAAGGAATAAAGCTCCTCATCAAGTTCAGCTCTCCACAGGCTCAACCTGAAGCAATTAAGAACTTATCAGAATGCTAAGTAGCACAAAGATCAGCAACAATGTGACAGATCCAAGCCCAAAAATCGCGCTCGGTGTGTAACACACACAGTTAAAACAGTAAAGAAACCATAGGTGTCCAAAGAGCAAGGCCAGGAGCAGATATGGCCAAATAAATATTGCAGGCCTGGGGGAGGAGGGAGGGATCAATACCTGGGCAAAATCAGTGATTCCTACTGTTCCAATGCCATTATCCACAGATATCCATTCGTGCTTGTCTGTGAACTTGCGGGCTGAAAGGAAACAAACTTGACATTTCAGGAAGAAGTGAAGTGTTGCTGGGTTAAATACAGTAACACACCTGCAGGCTTAACCTGGGGGGCTTTCTACAACAGCTCTCTTCATTTTTCTTGGGAAATATCTTACACAGCACATACAATTTACAGAAGCCTCTTGTTCTGCCCAGTGTCTCCTGAGAGCGTTACCAGTTCCTGTGCGTTCATCTGGAGACTGAGACAGGACAGGAGCAAAAGGAGCAGCTCCACTTCCAACAAAAGTGTGAATCTGAAGCATATATGTGTATTTTACCCAGAGTTACACATTTCAACTATAGCACAGTGGCTTTTCAAACATATTCAGTGTTTCTTTCTGACAACCACTTCATTACAGCTGGGAAGGCCAATGTTAATGACTCAAGAAACACTGTCAGTCTTACAGCATCTCATTCAAAGCTGTCACAGATCTGTGTAAAATTAAGTCAAATTAATAAAGGACAAAATCAGTCAAATCATGCTGACAACTGTTACCTAAGAGAATTAGCTCTCTGTTTATACAGTGACTCTGAGGAGAACACTTTAGTTATTCTGTATCATTTTAAAATAAGCCCGTTTAAAACCTTGTTAAGTCATTTCACAGCAAGGTTACAACTCTCCATCCATTTTACATCTGCAAGATTCAAGACACCTTTATTAGAGGCAGTTGTTTCCATAAAGTCACATGGAGAGACTTCAAAAGAAGTAACTGAATCAGGCAACGTTTTTCTTGCTAACATTTTTACCAGGAACTTTTTTTACTCAGCACTTTCAGCTGCCTTTTCTGTTTTCTCACTTCCATATAGCTTCCCCATAAATACCTCCTTACTTATTTTTAATTTTAACTAATTTATTTTTAATTTTCACTTGCAGCACCCATCCAACCAGGCAAGGGATGTTGCAGAAGCTGGACAGCTTCTGAAACAGAGCTCCCTGTGTGATTAGTGCCAGGGTAGTGCAGCTGGGCTTTCCTTTTGAGCTCAAAATTCTCCTCTCAGGCTCTTCCCCTGGGCTGGACTCTTTACAGCACCCACCAGAGAAATTCCACTTATGCAAATCCCAATTACATTTTGGCAAATCCTTTTATATTTTCTAAACTTGCACATGAAGGAAAACAGAAGTTCTCACTGTAGACCTGCTAAAATGTTTCCACTCTAAGTCTGTTGAATTTTAAGCTGTTTCAATTGCAGGCATCCTCTTATTTGTTCAACAGAAGCAAATCTCAGATAAAATGGTTTGTCTTTGAATAGGGCCTAAATTTTATAGCCCTCAATACAGCAATACATATTTTACAAGTGGAGTACACAAAAAAAATGAGTAAAGTGTAAATATGAAATATTTGTCCATGAATTATCACCAAAAACCCCAGAGAATTTTAGATAGCATTATTTATACCTACAAAAACATCTCCTGACACACTCCAATGAACAGAATAAATCAAATGTCTTAAATCATTTTAGGTCAAGACATTGAACCCACAGGAATTCTATTGGAAATGAGTAATGAACCATAAGAATGGAGAATGACACACAATCTCAAACCCAAGCTGAACATTTGTGATGTTACAAATGTCACACAGAAACCAACAAATACATTTTTATTTTGGATAATAATATTATACAACATCTGTTTATAAAGCAAGGCTAATAAAAAACCAGAACACTTTCACATCAGTGGAATACAGTAGTAAAATGCTCTGAACAGTTGGAAGAGCACATAAGTTTCTTTCAGGATAAAAAAAAAAAAAGTGAGAAATTAGGAAATCTAAGCATGCACCAAAAAACACCATAGCTAAAGTAAAGGTCAAATTAAAAACAGTTAATAAGTAATCTCAAAATTTGAACTTTGATCTCATGTGATCAATCAACTCAGATGAATATGAATTGTCAAAGCACACCAAATCTCTCCCCTGCATTCTTTTTCAGAAGAGCAGCTGAATTTCCTCCAGCTTCACTCATTTCAACAGGACTTTGATTTCAGCTTAACTAACACATTCTGAACTCAACCCTTCGTTCAGTGTAACCTGCTTCTATTAAATACTTCATAAATACACATCTGAAGAGTGAACTCACACTCCCACAAAGAGGCATACAAACTTTTTCCTCTCTGCCTAAAACAAAAGCACAGCTTGTTATTTCTTCAAGTGATATGTACAGAAAAACAATGGGTACCTTAATCAGAATAGTGAAAAGGCTCAGACTGAATTTGCAAATAACGAGTAACGTTATTCCTTTCACTTGCAGCAGAAGGCAGTTAAGCAGGTAGGTTTAAGACTGTCTGGAAGAAAACTGATGAGCTCTTCTTAGTGGTTGCATTACTTTTATAGCATATTTGCCTCCTCACCTACTTTTTCAACATTTCTGTTTGCTGGAGTACCACAGATTCTGTTCTTCAGACTTCTGTGGGCAACTTCCATTCAAAGAGAGCTTCGACAGCAGCAGATGCCTTCAGAATTAAGTACACAGAGCAAAACCACCCCAGGCACTGATGTTCGAGTCCATCTCCTGCCTTGCCCCTGGTGCAGCTCTGGCTGCCAGAGCAAAACTTCTTCATCCCAAACAGGCTCAAGGCCCTCAAAACCTGGCTGGGGCTCCCCTGCCCTGGCTCTGCCCCCGCCAGACACCCACTCCTGCCCCTTTCTTGTGCTGCTGGCGCTCCTTGGAGCTGTTTGGGGGCGACAATCCCAGGAAAATACATGCTGTGTTGGTCAAGCTGGTGCCCTCCGCGCTCGGCCCGCTCCTCAAAGCTGCTGGCTGGGGGAGGCTGAGCCTCTGTGCTCAGAGCAGTGGTGGTGAAAAGTTCCTTGGCAACTGAGGGAGGTGAACCTGCTCCCGGTGGGAGCGGGAATGGGGAGAGCGTCAGGAGCGGACAAGGGGCAGGGACGAGCCCCGCGCGGCCTCAGCGCTATTGCGGGGCTCTCCCGGTACCCTCCGAAGGGCCGCCAGGACACACTGCTGGGATGGAGGGAGAGAATGAGGGATGGAAAGAGGGAGAAACGCAGGGATAGAAGGAGGGACAGAGGGAGGGAAGGAGGGATACAGGGCGGTTGCCGCCCCGCGGGACCCGCGCCCTGGCTGCCCCGCGCACACCGCACGGGCGGGCGAGGTCCCGCAGCCCACCCTGCCCGCAGCCTCCCCGCGGCGCCGGGCCGCTGTGCCGCGCTCCCCTCGCTCCCCGGGCCGGCACTCACCGGACAGCAGCAGCGCCCCTGTGCGCAGCCCGCGGGCCGCGGGCACCCGCGGTGGCGGCGGGAGGCGCGGGCAGCGCGGCGCCAGCGCCAGCACCGGCCCGACCCGCCACAGCGCTCTCCACGCCATCTTTGCCGCGGGCGGGCGGGGGCGGCGCTGGCGGGAGGCGGTGATGGCGGCGGGGCGGGGACGGGCCCGTGCCGGCCTTCAGGGGGTCCCTCACGGCGGCGGGACCGGGAGGGGACTCGCGAGCCATGAGGAGCCGCCTGGATACAGCTCCGAGCCCCCGCCGCGCCGGCAACGGGGCCGGGGACGGCGTGAGGGAGCCGCCATCTTCCCGTGAGGGAGAGCGAGAGGCTTTAGGCAGACTGCAACAGACGCTCAGTGTTTATTAAATAAATACAGGTGTCGAATCTACAGCAAGCGCACGTGGGACGTTTCGCCTTAGGTTTAGCGTTACTTCTTAGCTGTTACTCCGAAATAACAGGCTGAGAACGGCTCGCTGGTGGACACCGCGTCATTCTCCCAGAACCACGAAATATTCTGAGTTGGGACCCACACGGATGATCAAAGTCGAGCTCCTGGCCTTGCACAGGACACCCCCAAGAAACCCACTATGTGCCTGAGAGCATTGTCCAAAGGCTCCTTGAACTCTCAGGCTTGGGACCACACCACTATCCTGGGAGCCTGTTCAGTGCCCGACCACCCTCTTTAACCTTTTCCTTATGTCCACCCTAAACCTCCCCTGACACAGCTTCACGCCATTCCCTTGGGTAAGCCCGTTCTAGTGAGAAGCTGCGATAACCTAAGCCTAAAACCTAACCTAACCCTAACCATTACAGCTGATAGCGAACAAGTAAATATTTTGCCCACAAGCGAAGTGACTTTTCAATGTGGTCATCGTTCACTCGCTGACAGGTTGCTCCAGCTGCCGGTCAGTGACTGGCTTCTCTTCCTTCTTGCATTTAATCCCGAAGAAACTGAAGAGTTTCATTAGCATTAGATCAACGATCTCCTCTTCTTCCGAAGCCTGAAATAACAACAAGCAGCAAGTTACTGGGATGCACAGACCAGAAGTGGATTCAATCACAAAACAAAATCTCTACTTGAGTTGAAATAAGCCAACTTTCACTCCCAGAAAAGCATGAGTGACTGCCAAAGCAAAACTTGCCAGTATTTTTATCCAGACAAAAGCCCCAGATGAGCATGGGCACCACAGAAATTTTGGCTCTGTCAAAGCCCATGGAAATCTTTCTACAGGACCCTGGAGTTCACTTGCCAGCTCCTATACAGCCAGTGGTATGTACAATGAGCCACCCACTGTTTCTAGATGAAGTAAATGAGAAAAACTGAATATCTCTTGTCTTCTACCAACCACATCCTTTGTTTTCATCTCCTTTGGCTTTATTTAAAACATAGAGGAATTCTGGGCAGTACTGGAGTACTAAGCTGGATTTCACACCATGTTATCAATAGCTTGAATGGGTCAGGCACTCACAATGAGAGTTTTAAAAGGAGCTGTAAAGTCCTCATGCACTTCAGCAGCAGTTTTGGCACTGATTTCAAAATAGCTCAGCACAAGCCTAAGCACAACTTTTTGCTGGGTTTAGTATGTAAAGAGAAGGCTACAAATCAGATCTCGCACTGCATCTGAACAGCAAGTTGTCTGGCCAGGAAAAGACAGCAAAATCTGGAAAATCTGAAGTGTGCTTTCTCAGCAAATGTTGACTTCTTAAGAGTTGGATTGAATTTACATGGTTTTCATCCATGGCTGAATACGTAAATCATGAGTAAACACTGAACAATAAATATTAAAAACAGGAGAGTTTAGATGGACACACCTGGTAGTGCTTCTGCTCCTCACTAAAAGCAACCAGAATCACCGAAATGAACAGATTCAGTACCACAAATGTCATAAAAATGATGCAGGATCCAATTAGAAAGGAGCCTAAAACTGGATTGTAGTCCAAGACCTGTACAATTCATAAGATAAGACATCATATTGTGATTGTAACACAAACAGACATACACACACACACAAGCAGTTAAGACCCAAAAAGTTTGTCTTTTTGAAAATCCCATGTCTAATCAATTATACCATATGTATTATACATATATACATTTTCTCCTTTAGCCACTGTCATGTGTTAATATGATATAGTAAAAATATGATAGAATATTTTATAGATAGATAGATATAAGATGGGCAATCTTATATATATATATATATATAAGATGGGTAATCTCTGGGGTTTTTTAAGTATTTGAATTTGATTGTAATGGTATGAAAGTTTCACATGACAGTTGACAAACCTGGAGATCTGTTTATCCACAGAACAACTGAAGCTCCCTCACACCTCAGCTTTCAAAGTACACATGAAATGTCTTTATGCATTTATTTTATTTTATTGTATGTTTTACGGAGAAGCCCAGTCAGACCTTCTCAGACTCTTAGAAACCAAGGGTTATGAAAAATCCAAACCCCTAATTTTCATGTAAGCTACAACAGAGGAATATAATTCCATGATTAATATGAGTGGGATGTAGAGGTGAAAAACTTTGTGCCCAGTTACTGATCTTCAAAGCCACCCATATCCTACTGGATCCATGGTCTAAAAACATCCACCAAGGGGGACTTCACAATCAAAGATGTCCAAGAACTAGCTTACTCCACAAAAAAGAGTGTTCAAAGGATATTGCAGTATTTGAAAGAACTTAGTGAAAAAGTCAAGAACAATAATAACAATTGTAACACAAAGTTCCCCTTGCCTTTCTTGGGAAACTGGAGGGTTTGTTCAGAACAAACACAAGGCATCACTCACATTTCTATCTTTAGCTTTCTAAGGAAATTGCTCAAAACTTTCTGTAATGAATTAGTAACATCTCTCTAGTTGAAATGTGGGCAGATTTCTCAATGAAAGGTTCATTATGAGTCTCCTCATGGTCAAAATGGGATGAGAGAGAGATTCCACTTGGTGTCTTTTTCTTGATGAGAAAAGGTGGCTGCTTTAGGAAGCTGTGGAGCTTGCAAAATTGTATTAATTTTTTAACACTAATTGCAAGTATTTCTATTTGCTGGGTCAAAGCCTATTTGGTAGCTGAGATACTAATTATATGGTGATAAACTTCCCAAAATTAGATGTGGTACCTCTTCATAGTTGAAGATTCCCAGCTGAAGACTGACCATGGTCTCTGCTGAATCAAAGAGAGTTTTGTAAGAGTAGAGCTTCCAGCCAAATATCAGGTTTGCCTGCAGAGGACAGAAGTCACATCTTGTGTCATGATCAGAGTCCTTGCTGCAAAATCAGCTGATGACTTCTGTATTCAGAGAAAACCCTCCCAGCTTGTCATTAGAGCCATGAAGCTTTTTGTGGTTTGGGTTTTTCCTTTATTTACAAGCAGGGGAAACATCAGACAAGGTCACAGAAGAAGCCTAACCTAGAGCTAGAACTGGATTCACACTTTCTGAGTGTGTTTAGCTTTAAGACCTTTTATCATGGACATGAGAATGTCTTATATTGGCTCAGCTTGCCACTAGATATGTGAAAAAATCTGCAAACACATGACAAAAATCATGAAAGTAATTTAGCTCATCTTCAAGGAGCAGATTTATCCCTGTCCAAATAATTCAAAGGCACAAACACAGATCCTTCCAAACAGGCAAGCTCCTTGTTTGCCCTCAGTAACCAAGATGCTGATTTGTTAATTTATACCTTGAGGGCCTACTGTGTCTGATTTAAATAAAGGCTGCTGCAGGCTCACCTTTTCCTTCATCCCTCTGCTTCTTTCTTTCACAGCTCCATCACTCACATGATGGGACAGCAGGCTGGCTCCTGGAACTGATCTGATCACTTATTTTACCTGGTAAGTTTGTGACCACTGCAGTGCCTAAAGCTACTCAGTTGCCTGAGTGTCAGTGCTGGAGGGAAGGATGAGGGACATGAAATCAGGCAGTGTGAGTCTGCAGCAGGTCCTGTTTGTCACAGGACTGTCCTTTATGGGACAACTTGGATTTGGCTTAGATGGTTTCCACTTTTTTAGTGACTCTGGAATTAATTTGCTGAATTTCCCCTGCCAGATGATTTACACAAAACATCTCAGTTAAACAGTAAATGTACATAGATAGTTACAGTCCAAGAATAGTTGCAGTCCAAGAATTCTTTCACCTCACTAGGATGAAAATATAATTGTATTTGTATGATAAGTATTCCTGCAATAGGCAGAAAAATAATTATTTCCCACTTATAAACTAGCCAGACAGAAAATGGCACTTAATGCACTCTCCACATAATAATTTTATCCAGAAAATTATTTTTCCTGTACTTTGTCCTTTGTCATATCTATTACACATAGATAATTCCTTTTTTTTTTTTTTCATCTCAGCATTTATTTTTTACTAAATTTTGGTTTACAAAGAACAGACGAGTGGGTATTTTAATTTCTCTTTCACTCATACAGAAGGCTTGGGCTCCAAGCTGCTATCCTAAGATTTGGACAGACATTCCATTGTACATGGCAAAGCCACGTTGCTTTCAGCATCCAGAAATAAATCATTTAACCCAACAGTCCCTGGGTGCTGCCTGCAGACAACGGAAAGCCCAGGGGTACTCACAGCAATGGAATAGGCAAGGAACATGATTGCAATCACAGTGATGAATCCAGAGATGTCACCCCATGCCCTCCTCAGTGTTGAGGTGATCATGTTCAGTTTAGGGTTGAGCCTGAGGAGGTGCCACAGTTTCACTGTGGAGAGGAGCACCAGGAACGCGATCAGGTAACCAAGAACTGCATCAGCTCTCGCTGTCTCGCTGAAGCTCACAGAGCTGTTGGAGAGAAGGCAAATGTGTAACAGTCCATGCACACAGAGCCCTTTGAAGAGCATAAATGGGTGTGCTGGAGAGGCCAGTGACTCTGTCCTGGTTTCACTGGAGACCTAATGAGTTCCTGCTGGAGTCTTCCCATCTGTACTTCCTGCTGTGTGCACACAAAAAGCTCAGTTGTGCAGGGCAGAGTTGGGTTTTTTTAATGGTTTTTTTACAGGATTTTAGCTGTAGCCTAAATGCTGCTTATTTTTATCAAGTCATAGTTTGAAGGCAGCTAATGCAGCTTTTATAAGTTGTGTGCACAAATAGAGCAGATGACATATTCCTGTGTGATAAACAAGTGCTGCATTAGCAAGAATGTAGCTGTCAGGTTAAAGAAGTGCTTTTTCTTTCTGCTCTGTCAGCATTTGTGAGGCTGCATCTGGGATTCTGAGCCCAGTTTTGGGCTCCCCAGTGCCAGGAGTCATTGAGTCCAATGAAGGGCACTGAGATGGTTGGGAGTGGGGTCACAGGACACATGAGAGAAGGTTGTGGGAGCTTGGTTTGTTCATTCTGGAGCAAAGAAAGCTAAGGAGGCCTCCGGCTGCTGTCTCCAGCTATATAGTCAGTTATGGAGGGGGTGTAGTAAAACATTTCCTGGAGGTGCCTAATGAAATGACAAGGGATAATAGCCACAAGCTGCAGCAAGAGGAATTCCAGATGGACATGGAAAAAACAGGGGGTTTTTCTCCACAATGAGAGTAGTTCAGGGCTCCAGAGAGGCTGTTGAACCTCTGTCCTTGGAGATACTCAAAACTCAACCAAACAAGACCCTGAGCAACCTGATCTGACACCAAAAGAGGGGGTTGGAACAGAAGCCTTCAGAGGTCCTTTCCTTCCTAAATCATCCTGTGATCCTGTCATTTCTGTCCTGTGTGACTATATTTTAACAGATGTTATAATTTCCCATTCTGTACTAAATAAGCCATTATTGTCCCCTAACCAATGGCTTTTAGCAACAAAGAACAAGGCAGATTATGTGCTTTCTGGGTGGATGTCCTGTAGCAGAAAGGCTTGTTGGTTCAAAAGAGGGTGATGCAGACAGGAAATTAGCAGCCAGAAAGGTAAACTTAGTGCTCAAGTCTGCTGGATTTTATTAGAGAGGTATCAGAAGAAAATCCTATTGGTGACACAAATCTAAGCCCTGAAACACTTACAGACTTCATGAATATACCCATATAGGATAGCAGTTTCTAGCACAGACAAGCTGCTGTCTGGGAAGGGGAAAAATAGGTTTATTTCTGCATAAGTAGCAACAACAAAGGATGCATTAAATAGCATTTAGTACATACTTCTCTTTGTGTTCCTGGTAGTAACTGATGTCTCGGGTCCCAAGGATTGTCCTCTTCACAAACACTGACAGAGCACTCCAGCTAATCAATATAATGGCCATCTCCAGGAGATTCCACTTGCTGTGGAAATATCTCCATCTCAGACTCTTCATCAATTTACCCTGTGAAAAGAGGAGTTTTACTGTCTCAGTCTCATAACTCCAGATCATATAATACCTCTAAAGATTAGGGCAATAAAACAGACTACTGTGCATCAATAAAACTACAGCTTGCACTAATTACTCATTATCTTTCTCAAAAGAAACATTCCAGCCAAATCAAGTGTTGTTTTCCCATTATGGGATTTAATCTTCCATTGGTGTAGCAACATCAGTGCTTCTGAAATCAAGTACAGTCACAAAGTTTTTGTGAGTGAAATCCACCCCAGACACAAGGTGATGCTGAACTTTCCACTGGCCTCACCTGTACTATCATGTAGTACACAATAAAGAGGAAATAAATCCCTTCTGCTGCAACCACAAAGATGTGGAGGCTGTTGGTGTAGGGGTAAAGCCGGACACTCTGCAGCTCTGCACTTGTGAAGAAGGCCCCTGAAACACAAACAGGGGGCACCTCAGGGCTCTGATAGTCACACCTCTCTGTTCTCATTCCAACACTCAATTCACCAGTCAGACTTCTGTACTTGCTTTCACATCAATGTGAGCCTGACTCCAACTATCAAACTGAGATTTAGACTGGATTGTGTGAGTAACCTTGTAATTGTTCTTTGATATTTTCCTCCAACAGGCATTTCAGGCAGTCAGTGGCTGTCTTGTGTCACAGCACAACACTAATCCCAGCAGGGCTGAGTTTGGATTGGACTGCAAATGCAAGACTGTAGCAGGAGGACTTGGAGATGTAAAGCTGAATCTTGTTCTAAAAGGAACATGAGCTCAGTTTGGCATTTTCCAGCACCAGGCCAGACCTGAGGGAGGCTGCTCCCAGACCAAATGTGGTTTTTTATGGCCTTTAAACCAGAATATGGTTTCTCTGTTCTCTTTGTTGTATCCAGGTTATGTATTATATGATTACACAGCAATATACTGGAAGTCATCTGGAACAAAAAAGACAGACTGTTATTTGTGCTTTTTGTCTTAATATTGTATTGATTAGCTGAAGAGATCAGGAAACATAATTTTTTCTTGTTCTTGTACAGATTCTGGAGGTTAAGTTTCAGTGCCATGTTTTCTTCATCAGCAGATGACCACTGCATAAGCAAACATAAGATATTCCATTTTGGTCAGTATTACTGTGATGCTGCATTTTTCCTTAATGATTTATATAATTTGCATTGATTCTGTCATGATTAAATTTATTAAACCCCTTCTGTTTACTGAATAAAGAACTAGGAAAACACTGACAACATGTAAATCCAGCTTCTATAAATGCACTGCTTGCTGTCTTCATAAATGTGTAACTTAAAAAATGTACTCACCCAAAGCATTGCTCTCAAACATCAGGCTTATAATGCAGAACAGGTTCACATTGGCATTGTAGACTGTAAATTCAACAAACACTGCTCTGGTGAAGGTGTCCAGCCAGACATTGCTGAAAAGGTATTGGAGAATTCTGCCAGAAAAATGTAAAGCCAGTGATCCAACTCATCCAGGACAGAGACAGTATCACAGGGAGGAGACACTGATAACTCACAAGAATACGAGTGGTACCTGGAGGCATTCCCAGGATCAGTTCCCAGGTGAATCACGTATCCCCCTCCACTGTAGGTGGCCAGTTTGCCCCAGCTGGGCTGCCCTCTCAGTTTGGACTGACTCTGATACTGCCACGCTGAGCTCAGGTCAGAGGAGTTATCAAAGACTGAAGTATTCCAGTGTTCCCCATAAACTGCTGTATCTTCTGTCTGTAGGGAGTATGGAGCATGGCATTCCTCAACTACATGCTGGAGTTTGGGAGAAATAGGGCAGGTGTCTCCTTTCACTCTTACTTGGCGAATTCGAGCACTCCCCACCAGCTTGGAATTGCCATCTGTAATGAATCCTAAACAGGAGATGGAAAAGAGCAGCACTGGCAACGTGACAGAACTAATAATATTTTTTCATTTCATTTATGATTCACTGATGCCTTAATATTTTGCCATATATTCTTTTCTCAGCAACACTGTAAGCAAAATAGTCATGGAAATGAAACCCTCATGTTGATTGGAACTGAGTTCTTAAAGAACATTCATAAAACCAGAGTTCAGTATCACTACCTATCTGTATTTTATACAGAAGGAAAATGAGGCCTGGGGGAGAAAAGTGCCTCACTTTGACTCCCACAGCAGAGTAGCTTCATGCAGTGTTCGTGTGGCCTGTCATGTCCAAAGAACAACTCTGCTAATGTATTTCAGTATTTACCCTTAAATGTGAGCTGGAAAACAGGTCAGATTTTTCTGCATGTGGCTACATAGAGAAAACACGGTGATATTGCATAATTTGCCTTCACATTGACCCAAGCCCTGATGCAAACAACTCTCCTGAGAAAAGCTTTATGGTGCCACCTGTCTGCCATTCTCTTTTCTGGGTTATGGAAAGCAGCTTGTGTAGAACTGAGGCATGTATCTGAATATCTGCAGTACCTAATGTAAAATGTGAAAAATGTAGCATTATAGTGCAGAACTTTTGGGTTATATTAAATACAAGGAAAATATCAGGGCACATTTGACCTGTGATCAAGCTGTGGGGGTTTTGTTATCCACTAGTATTCATATTATAAGAATCCATGCTCGCCTGGTACTCTCACATCTCTTTCTCCACTCAAATACACCTGTGAAAGTTAGGGATATGTATAAAAGATTATGCTTCCGAATCTGGCAAGCTGATGGGAAACAATGTGACTCTGCACCTTTATATGATCCATAAAGGTTTTTGAGTAAGGTGGTGTTTGCCCACGTGAAGAAATCCTGGTAACTGTAGACATCGTGGAACCCAGCTGTAAAGCTGTCCTCAATGTGTTTGTTCAAATAGTAGGAATTGGGATCTCTCTGCCCATAGGCAACCAGTAACAGCATCCATAAAAACCCAATATAGGCTGGGGAAAAAAAACAGGAAGAGACAGCACATGTGAGATCTGAATTAACAATGCTGTTCAAAACACACTGCAGGAATGATTACTGCTGTCAGCACCCGTCAGGCCAAGGAGATGCTCTGTAGACTCTGAGTGACCAGTGCTAGTGAATGTGCACAAGCTGCTGCAGTTTAACTGTTTCACAACTGGAATGTGAGCAGCAGTCAAGAAAACAAGAGGGAAGGCTGAACAGCAGTTCAACAGCTCTAAATAAAATGAGTAGTCTAACTTTGTTCCCAGTGAAGTTGAGGTAATTTTTGCCATTGATTTCAGCGGAAATAAAACAAGAGTATAAATCATTATCTATAGATATTACTGCTTTTAGAAAGATGTCCTCCACCTACTCTTCAACTTCAGCTTCATTTAACTGTTGACCTCCTCATTCTATCCTTCCTATTTTTATTTTAACCTCTCATGAGTCTGTGACGTGTTTCTTTACCATAAAATCAAGACTTAGCCACACTTCTACCTCCAGCTAACATTCCCACCTCCTTGAAGCTCCAGCTGCCACAGAACAGCCTGCCTCTACATCACAATGGCTGGCAGAAAGCTGAAGATGTGCCAAAACTTTGTCACCCAAGAGAACAATATTTTCACTGCTGTAAAAGTACTGAGGAGTAGTACTGAATAAAGCAAGTAATCTAGGTATGGATACCCAGGATTTCTCGGATGAGGGCAAATGCTTTCTGCTCTTTCATGCAGCTGATTTTCATTTTCTCCACATCAGCTGCAGGAGGTGGCCGGTAAATGTTGCTTCTACTGTCCCTTCGGGCTCCAAAGAGAGGGTGTGAATCACCTGAGAGGGAGAGCAGTAAACCCTGGGATTAGTAAACAGATCATCCATGTCCTGCTTTTTGTTTCTTTGGACATTCAAAGGAAAGATTTCTATTTATTGCTTTCCCTTAGGAAACAGTTCTGCAGGATTTATCCAACCTATACATACAGCGACCTTTATTTTTTTCTGCAGCTGACACAAAGTCAGTTATTTAGGTTTGTTTTCACTTCCACTTGATCTTGGGAATGCTAATGGGTAGACAGCTAGTCATAATGCCTGTGGATTTAGTGATTTCTGCTAACACTGACAGCTAAGATTGAGGTATGTAAAGATAACCAGTGAAGTTCTCAGCTGAGCTGAGTCACACATTTATGTATAAAGCACTCCAAAAGCTTGAGAATGCTGCACTTTCTTTAATAATATCTCACTTTACCAGCACTTACCTGGTGCAGATAAAGGCCCATCAATAGCTGGGTTTTCTACATCCTCATGTTCCACCTTCTTCAGAACCAGAGCAAAAAAAGCAGCAAATCCCAGCACCTGGAAAGAATCAGGTATAACTCACCATATGCCCATTTCATATAAAGAAGTGCAGGCCACTGATCCCTTTGGATCCAGGCACTGCAGAGAACAACTGCTCTCTGACTGTTGAACTCCTGCAGCTGAAGCCCTTAAACATGAGAACACTGCACGGTGACACATCTTCCCTGCTCAGAAACCTCATCTGCTATTAAACCCTGATGAAAAAAGGTTTAATTAAATGGAGTTAATTAAAACTAATGGAGTTAGTGTCAGCAAAAGACAACAGAACTCTGCAAACCAGCTGCTAACTCTTGTGTCAAGGGCAAAGGCCTATCATTTTATACCTTAGATCCTGTGGTTCTTTACAACTGTCTTCCTGCAATGGTAGTAGATGAGTTGATCTTGGCCAGTGGTTGTATTTCTGAGGATCTCACCTTTAAGGGCTGTGTGATGAAAAGACTTTCCAAGAAGGAGATGACCATGGAGATCAACCACTTGATGGAGTTCTCCTTGCCATAGTGCAGCCCGTAGAGCATGGTAAAGAACCCGGACACACCACTGGTGGCTGCCACCAGGAACCACCCGATGAACACAAACCACCAGGGCAGTCCTTTGGAAGAAACACTCTTCTTGTCATCACCGGAGAAGTTTGGAGTAAGGGACCACCTTGAGAGTCAACCAGAAGAGAAAATATCAGTCTGTGGTAGAACAGGAACCAAAATCACAACCATCAAGTTCACTGGGAACAGGCAACATCTTATGATTTAAAACCTCAACCAAAATATTCTGACTTCTTTTAACTAATACAGTTGTGTAGGATATATGGATAGCAAAACGTACGGTGAGCAAAAATGTGAGGAAGTGTGCAGAGATCAGCTAAAATCAAAATAAATATGATGGGCTTGTTTACTCCTCAGTTTATGCATAATTGAACCTCCAGTAGAATTACTGACAAAGAAAACCATGAGTGTATTTAAGCTGCTGGATGTGTCTCTTGTGATCAGCATAAAGGCCGGGGAGATAATTAGAGCAATTGTTTTTGATTCTTCCAATTTAATTATCATATTTCACTGCACTATTTTTGTCTGCTTATTAATTTTTCTTTATCCATACATTTTAAGAGACTTCTGTGACTTTGGAGCTTGGTGATTATCCCAGCCCTTTACTATCATGTGGCATTGTGTAGTAACTTTCCATTTTGGAGGCAAAAATAACGAAGAGCAGTGATCTGTCATTATTGCCTTTGTGTGCAGTTCACAGTGCGTGGAAATTTCTTTTCTACAATGGTATAATAGTAAGACTTATTTTTACAGCTATAATAATAGTCATCTAGCACATATTAAGCAGTAATTATTTGGTTTCTGTCATCCTGACCAATTTTGAACTCATGATTTTACTTATACTGAGAGTGAGATGAGAACCAGGTTACCCCTCACTGGTGGATGCTGACGAGCACATTCGGGGCTCCAGGAGGTTCTTCATGTGCTGAACCTGATGAACAGCTTGTGTGTAACTCTGAGGCAGCTGGAATTTATGGGGCCCCAGTAATTCCAGCTCCATCTCCACATGCTGGAGTTGTGTGTACAAGCAGCGATTGTAATCACTGTATTTCGGTCGCTCACAGATTCTCTTCTCTGGACTTGGGCTTCTTGTTTTTTCTGCAGGCGAAGAATTATTTTATTTACTTATTGAGAAAAACTATGCCTAGATTAAAATAGTGTTCAGTACAAAGGGTAGTAGAACTGGAGCTAAGGATTATAAATGTGGCAAAGTGAAGAGTAACATGCCAAGGGATGTGTAAAACCAGCTTTAGTACTAGAGCTTAATACTCTTCTGCTGGAATTGTTGCCAGAGGGCAACTTAGTTAAACAGGTCCTAAAACCTTAATAGACAAGTCAGATCAGATCAACTGTTAATTTGTTTGTAGTTTCCCTGTGCAATTAGTAGCTTGGTAGACTCATTGGAAAAGACAAATATGAGTCTCAATGAGATCAGTTAGATTGTTTACTCATATATTCTTGTTTAATTGAAGATAAATAAATGCCTGAGTTAAGAGTCAAACTGAAAGGAACAACAGCACAAAGCCAAGAGGAAAAAAAAAGACAGGTTAAAAACCTGTGAAACAACTGATATTTGTGAGTCTTTGTGCTGGTAGATACTGATCCTGCTCCCAAGTCAGACTGCAAATATTTAATTCTACAGTCTAAGAAATAGAGATTTCGCAGTTGTCTTTACTCAGTTGGGTGCTCCGTTGTGCACAGTGAAAGGACAAGAGGCAATGGGCACAAACTAAAACAGGGGAAATTCTTTCTGAACAGGAGAGTATTGTGAGAACAGTTGGACACTGGAGTAGGTTGATCAGAGAATTTGCTAAATCTCCGCCCTTGGAGACATTCAAACCTGACTGGATCTGATCTTGGGCAATCCTTCCCCAGCTGACCCTGCTCTGAGCAGAGTGGTGGGATCCAGAGATCCCTTCTAACCTCAGCTGCTCTGTAATTCTGTAATTGCCTCTGAGTCAGAATGTAAGAAGAGCTTGGGTCATCCCATCCAGTGCTGTCATCATTTTCACTGCAAAGGCTTCAGAGGGCATTTCAGAGTCTGTTGTGTACCTTGCATGTCCATAGAACCTAAAGTGACAATTATAGGGCCATCCTTCTTGCTCCTGTCATAAAACCCTTGCCCAGCTCTGTTCTGCTGGCAGATGATGTCCTCAACCAATGACAGAAGGGTGTTGATGTTTGTTGCTTTTCCAAGATCTGATGCTGAGGTGAGAGCTGGAGTCTTCAAGACTTTCAGGAGTGAGTTGGCAATTCTTCTTATGTCCTAGGAAAGACAGAGCAACACAGCAGTGACTCTGGCTGCAGTGGCTTAAGCTGATGTGATCTGACAGCACCACTGGCTGGGAGCTGCACCGATTGCTAAAATCTCCAGAATGGATAAGAATAGCACATCCTACACTGCTGGATGGGACGAGCAGATCTCAGTGAGTTCAGTAAGACGGCTTTCAGGGTTCAAAAGGACAGCTTACCTGCCTAGGGACCTAAGCTGAGAAAGATGGGGTCTGTGATACCTTTCATCTTCACTGTCTTGCTTAGTGTTTGCTTTACCTCTGAAAACAGTGATTTGCTTGCACAGTAATTGTGCAAGGGCTGGGATGTACAAAGGCAGCTCTTAACAAAGTCGTGGATGGCATTTAGGTGGGCAAATGAGAGCTTTGCACCCGTGGCAATTGGCTTTTCTCTTCAGAGAGGCTGAAGGGCACCTGACAGGGAACGTTTGTGCTGTGGAGCCAGGGAAGCCGGTAGTGCGTGGCACCAGAGGGCAGTGCAGGACTCGCAGGGACTTGCCTTTGTCACAGCCTCTGGAGTGAGCGAGGCAGCCTGGGTGACCTCTGGGTTGAGGGGTACGCCCGGGGACACTCGGCCATTCTTCCCCGGCTTCCTCTGTCTCCCCTCCTTGGCTGGCCGGGGTCGTGTGTTCCTGAAGATCTGCACAATGAGCAGGTTGATGGGGAACATGAGGAGGGAGCTCTCAAAGCCAATCATCACTTCCTGCCATGTGAACTCGATCTTACCTGTCAAGGTCAAACAGAGGGGAGGAGGAAAAATAACTCTAGGAAAAATAAACCATCGGGTTCATCTTGTGAAAAAGCCCATTCGTTCAACTCTCCTGCTTCTACATTCTCCTGTCTCTCTATTTCCCTGCCCAAGCAATGGTGAGGTTTGTTACCCAGATCCATTTTCTGCTCGGCTGGATCCTTGGGCACGCCCCAGAACATGATGCTGGTCAGCATGGTGCACAGGAGCAGGGAGAAGCAGCACGACACGCGCTGGGCGCGTGTGAAGGAGCTTCGTGGGGAGCGGCTGAAAACCGAGTACCAGATGTGCCCATCCTGGAAATCCCTGGAGGTCTTCATGAAAAACAGATTGCTGGGAAGGACGAGAGGGAAATCAAATGGATGCTTAGAAAGGAGAGGAAAGAATAAAGCTGTAGTTCAGTGTCCTGACTTGATCATGCTTGTAGGTACTGTCAGAAGGAATAATAACACTGAGAAATTATCAAATATTGTGGTTTGATTTGCATGGAGTGGTCATAGCTACTGATGTCCTTTCCTTTTGGCCACACCATGAAGGGAAAGTGAATCATGAGCAGTTTCTATTTAAACTGTTAAGGAAACTACATATAAGAGAAGATGCTTCTTTATCCTTCTTTAACACACCAATATTTCCAGTGTGGTATTACCGTATCCTTCCTCTTTTCCTTGTTCAGAGCCCTTTCAGAGCACTGGAAAGACATTCCTTGTTTTCATTTTTGTTTAGGGGTTTGGTCTTTCTTTTTCATGCTTGCTCTTCTAGATTGATTGCTATCAAGATTAAAAACGTCCAGAAAATAGAAGGTACCTGAACTGCTTCATGTCCTGTTCTGTAGCTACTGGGAACACTTTATCTAGGACACATTCTCCAATATCAATGGCTAGCCAGGAGTTACAGAGGAAGTACCATTTCTGATCCCATGCCAGGTCATGGACTAACACTCGATTCACATACCTATTGGAAAAACATACAGAGCACAATCACATGTGAAATTCAGAACTGGACAGCACTTATGGAGGACAAACTCTGGCCTTTGGCTTCTTAGGGTGTGTCTAAACTGTAAGGCACAGAACACATCCCATCCTATACTGGACATGGGATATGGGAAGCACTCCTGGTCCTGCAGTTTGGATTATGATTTGACCTATTCACTGGCAAAAATGAGAAACTAACACTTCTTTTCTATCTAGAACTTTAGGAAGGATAATTCTCAAGTGCTAGAAAAGGAAGACTGTTATTATTATAAAGAAAAATTTGTAGATCTTCAGATCTCCACTTACCAGGATGGGCTGTCCCCTGAGTTATCATGCCACAATCTAATACTCTGCAGTTCCCCAAGAGGGAAGAAGGTACAGAGAAGGAAAACATCCACTCCTCCACGTTCAAACACAGGTGTGTCAGGATCAGTTAGATGGTGGGGCTCACTCTCTCCTTCCATTCCATAGAGGGTGAGAGTCACCTGGAAAATAAGATGGCACAATGAAGACTTGCACATCCGGATCCTACATACGATTATTCCTCTGGAGTACTCCTCCAGCTTCCATCAAACCTAAGGACTTTCTGGCTTAGATGGTGCATTTGAGCTCTCCTGTTTAACAGCCTCAGGCACTCCATTGTTCATCCCGTTCCCTAAAGGGGTGCACAAACTGTTCCCCCACACAGTGCCACAAATACCTTGGAGGTTGTGGCTGCGCCACGGCGGTGTCCTGTGAAAACTGTCACCAGGTACCGATACTGAGCAAAGGGGTCATTGTCTTCCAGGACTGTGATTTTCACCTGCAGAGCAACACAACATGAGCAGTGTGTCAGCTGGTCTGGAAGTGTGCATTCCTGAAAGCTGTGAGCAGGAATTTGTCATCCTGTGAACAACATTTACTTACCAATAAGCAGAGTTACAGGGAAGGGAGTAGAATAAGTTAAAGACTTCCTATTAACAGAGCCTTGGCATGGTGGGAATTGGCCTAAATACATTCAGTCTTTATTAGCTGAAGACTTACTTTGGCATCATCCTGAATGTCTTTCCTTCGAGCCCAAATAACTACGAGCACATATATCAGAAAGATGCATCCTACAGTTGTCACCACCACAGGATTGTCCACAAATGTACCAAATAGCTGTGCAGTTTTGCTGACATCTATGGCATTGGGGATGACAAGGAAGGAGCTCCCAAAGAAAGTCAGATGGTTGCACAGGCACTGTGTGCTTCTAGGATTTGTTTTTGGTCCTACCTGAAACCCACAAAAAAAAAAAAATCCCAATAAAACATTTGGCTTTAAAATATTAGATGACTTACCAAGCAAATGAAAAGACAGTGCTGAGATTGGTGAGTTAGTGCAGAGAACTGCTGTACACAAAAAAATAGTTCAAATTCCAATAAGGAACATTAATATGTAGCCAGTAACAGGCATTATAACATAATATGGCCTTGTCAAAATTTTTCATTTCTTCTTGGAAGTTCATCCCAAGAAATAGAAATGGAAATGTCATTTGAAGCTTAGTTCAATATGACTAAACTTCTTCAGTTTATTAAAACATCTCAGAATGATCTTGTTTTAAGGTGTGAGTTCAGTGCTATCATTTTACTACAAGGTGGTGCTTATAAGGGCTGGCTTTGAAGTGTGTACCAGAAACACTGTTTTGTTTTGCTCGACTTACATGACATCCATAGCTGTTCCAGCTCCCCTGGCGCTCATCCCAAAATACACAGCGGGATGCAAAGGAAGTGACACCTACGGTTAGCCCAGCATAGACTTTGGAATCCATTCCCATATCTTGCAAAACCATGAAATAGTAGGTTCCTTCTCCAAAAATGAGTTCTTCCGGGCTAAGAACCCAGGTGTTTGTCTCACCTTGAAGACAAACATTTTCATTTCAATGCCTGGAGAAATGCTAATCAGAAGTATGCAGCTGTATTGCATTTAATAAATAAACCAAAGAAACAGGTATGAAATAATTCTTAGCAACTCATTGTTCAAAGCAGGCCACTCTTTGCTTCTGTTGGTGAACGCTGCACACCAGAGACTGGAACCCCGAAGCACGACAGACTGAAACTCCTGTGAGAGGTTTCTTTCCAGCTGGACATCTGAACTCATGGGCAAGGCTCACTCTGCAAGTTCATGGGTCACTAAACATTATCTTACCTTCAGCAGCTTTCTTAGAGAACAGATGTTTTTTCATATCATAATTAGTCTCATTTGGGCGATAACCGTACCCCAAGTGGAGTATTAGTGGAATGTCATGTTCAGATTCCAAGTGGATCACTACAGATGTGTTTTCTGAGGTAACATTGACTTGGAAAGTGCTATAATTGCCCAGATTCAACAGAATCTTATCTTCCTGAGTTGATGAAAGCCTTGGTAACATGATCTGTTTTTAAACAGAAAGACAGAGGTTTATATAGAGCAAAGCACTTTGCTCCTAGCATGCAGCCACGTGCTAGATTATCTTTGTTCATAACTTCAGAAAAGCAGGGCCAGCAAAAATATCAGCTTCAAAGTAATTTTCTTGCTAATGTCAGCTAACCTCTGAAAACATTCATTCTCACACCCATTTAAATGAAGGATAAGATACCTCCTTTTTAAGAAAAGACAGAAATATTTGTTGTTTCATTCATCACATCACACAAATCCCCTCATCACAAATGCAGACAACATCATCCCATTATCTAATGTAATCTACACTGCAGCATTTGTTTTCACCTTACAGAAGATGATAATACAAATGATAGTTCATTAATGGAGAAAGGAAAAAATGGGAAAAGAGGGAGAGGGATAGAAAATAGTGGATTTACTTCAATGTTCTCTTTGAGGTTGCTGACTGGTATGATCAAGCCATCCAGACCAGTAAGACTTAGACCCCCCACTGTTCCACTGATGTCAAAACTGGTGTCACTGGAGAAAAAGGGGTTCACTGCAAAGCTCACCATCTGTCAGCAAAACATTAACAATCAGACAACTGAGATATTGTCAATATTTCATTATATTCCTACTCTAAATTGCTGAAGAGTAAAAGGTTGAGCTCAGACCCAAACAGAACTGAACTTTCAAGATTTGTCTGCATTCAGATCTAAATAAGAATCTACCTTATCCCTAAGGTAGGTCAACACAAACCTTCAAAATTATTTTAATTCTGAAAAGTGACGTGTACAACAATCTTTACTGTTTCCATACTCTGTAACCCTTTTTTAGCAGAGTTGGAAAAGATGCAAGGACAAAAAAAATATTGCAGGTATTATGGGGCTCTCTTCAGAGGGTCAAATCAAGCAGAGAGGCCTTTAGAAAATTTATAATAAAAATATGACAATTACATACTGTCTATTGTTCTGAGGGGAAAAAACCACCATGTCCTAATTCAGATTAGGGTTATTACAGGACATTTGTCTCCTGCAGGATCTGAGTGCCTCATGTATTTCTAACTGGGATGAAGGAGGGCTGCTGCAGTTTAGTTTGAATGTGACATGGCCTCTGAGCTGTTGCATCCTCCTCAGAGCATAAGGTGTAAACAAACAGCAAATAGATTTATAGGTATTGATTCATTCCATTGCCTTCTCTGGCTGTGTAAGTGTATGTGAGGGGATGATGGGATGGGGAAGTTCAGCTTTCAGTCCTCCTTAGCTTGCTGAAACAACCTCATCCAATTAAGATAAATGAAGACTTCTTCAACCAAAAATATTTCAAATTATTGTCATGATAGGAGGGATGACTTGTGTGCTCGTGTGTTCATTGTAAAAGGAGAAAAGATTCTAAAACCATTATATTGGGAGTGTAAGTTGAATATCAGACTGAGTCAGATAAAAGCTGTTTACTTGCCCTTATATCCACTGTTTCATCATCAAGTCCTGAAACACTCAAAGAGGAAGCAGGTGGGAGAGTAAAGCTGGCAGAGCTGGAATTGGAGATGTTAATGGATGTGCCATCCATGTTTTCTGTTTGTAATCTGTCCAGTTAGGATTGGACACAACAAAGCAGAATAAAACAGAAATAAGAAAAGAAATAGAAAATAAAGGGGGAAAAAAATACCACACCAAAAAAAGACCAAACATTAATAACATAGACTTCATAACTAGAGAAAAAGCTTTCTCTTTTCACAAGTATATTGTAGTTGCAAAACTATTTCTAACTCTGCCAGTAAATACTTTGTACACTAATCTGTCCCTGACGTAGTACTGCACATAACACTGCCATGGAATCATCCAAAAAGGGGTGGAATTGGCATATCTGGAGAGGAAGTTGTGCCCAAGGTGTGCTTCTGTGACAGACATACGTGGTTTCTGTGTGAACATGCTCTTGGTTTGAATGCACAGTGTGAGGTGGATGAAAACCAAGCTCTTGAGGAACAATTTAGGAATGATTATCAGGAATGGAGAATGCTTGTCAGGCTCCTCAGGATTACATTTGCTTCTGCCAAGCTGGTTATAGTTCTATATAACATGTCACTATTGGCAACTTGGAAAAGAAAAGAAACCCTTGACTGGCATGACATGAGTTTTCTACATCATTTCAAAGTTAGGTGACTACTGCCTCTCCCAGGAAATAGTAGTAAATTCTCTGCTGCTTAAAGAAGACACAGCATGAGAAATTCTAAGGTGATGTTACTGGAACCCAAGCTGTTCTCACTATCAGGTAGTAATGAAGTCTCATTGCACTGTTGAAGTTGTCATTATGCTACAATATTTAGTTGGGTGGTTCCATTTAAGCACAATGGTGGAATTAATATTTGGAGCAAATTTGATTAACTCTCAGGAGCCTTGCTGGGAGACACTGCAGCTGTTACCTGTGCGTGTACATTGTGGCAGAAGGAGTGGTGAGCACTGTAGGTTCATCATCTGGGGCTTTCCCAAACAGGAGGGCACTCTGGAGATTTTCCACTGTACTCAGGAGCTGGTGTGACACTGAAATCTGGGAAAGGATTAGAGGAGGAAACTTGCAACAAAGGTACTCGGAATCATCAAGCTGCACATCATTTGTCTTTGCTTCCTTTAAATTTCAGGGTCTTCCAAAGCTGACAAACTTGATGATGTGCTTCTTAATCTCAGAAAAAGTTATTCTATCAGCAATTCAGTTTCTCAGTTGAAACACTGCAGACAGTAAATAAATGCCTTACAGATTTTACTTTTATATTTTATTATTTATAACTTCCACACATTGACGTTTGAAGCACTACAAACATGACATCAATCAATATATTCTGTGCATTAATGCTCTTTAGCTACATACTTAGTGTTTAGGTACTTGGAAAAGCAAGACCTAATTACATATCAATTATGTGTTAATAGTGTGTTATCTTGAGGGATCTTGACCAGTTCATAACCTTTTCTCTAGGTTAGATTTATTTCATGCCCTATTCCCTTGCAGTGATGAAATTACAGCATGTTCAGCCCAGGAAGCACTCAGATCAATTCACATCTAGATAGGAAAGGGTAGGACAAAATAAACATGTTGCATCAGAGTGGGCTTTCTGATGTGAAAAAAGTGAAAGCAGGACCCAGAGTTGATTCCAGTGGTGGCAAGCACGAATATTGAATACCTGTGGCTTCCTTGAGTTAAGGGGCAAAAGGAGGCAATAGAAGCAAAGCTGAAAAAAATCTTCACGTGCTTGTCATCCCTTAGAGGTCACTGATGCTCCAGTGCCCTGTCCTGTCCAGCTTTAAATGTAACAAATCTTTAGAGGTTTCTATCCCCTTCGTTAGCAAACGTTCAGTGCAACAGGTCTAACTGGGGAGATGTTTTTTCTTATATTCAAGTCCATCATGGTGTCTCAATGAACCCTTCCCAGTGCCAATTTAAAAACACAAGAGGCAGCAGAGCTCCTCTCAAAAGCAAACATGTTCACACACAGTCCAGTACAAACTGGGCCAAACCAAAATTACCTGTTCTGCCTCTGGCACTGAAGAGTTTGCAACTCTAATTTCTACAGAAGCTTTAAGGACGTTGCTGACTGCATTAAATAGATGGTTGGCTGCTTCCTTTAGGTTCTGATCATCTCTGCTGTCCTCTGGGTTTACAGAGAGCAAGGAAGCACTGACATCTTTCAGAGTGTTGCTGGCTTCCACCTGCATGAAAAACACAGGGAGCAGTTTAGATGTGCTGGTACCACAACTGACAGGGAAGACACTTCTGTCATTTACTGAATATTGCAACAGCAGTAATCTCATGGCACTATTACTGGCTAAGGCTGTTTTTACTATAATTATTTGTGCTGGGGTAATACCTCAGATGCTAATAAAGATGATGTATTAGATGCTATACTAAAATGAAATACAGACCTGAGAAATGCAGCCTGTTTCTACAGATTTCATCTGTAAAAAAAAATCTGAAGGAAGCTTGTCTGTCAAACACTGGGGAAGGATAGTGCTGGGATGTACTGTAATGTAGTAAATTAGGTTATACTTTTGGGTGGTCTGTCTAAAAAATACCAGTATATTGCCAAGCACATCCGTGTTTCAATCTTAGTTCCCACAAACCCTATTGAGTTGCCAGCAAGTGATACCCTTGGCCTTGTGCCAAGTGCCAAAGCAGAATGAGTTGTACAATTTTTATTTTGTGCCTGAATGCAGCCAGTGGTTGCTTTGTGAGTGTGAAAGTACTGACCAGCTTTTAGGCCAGGATGGTGAGGGAGCCAGGCAAGTTCACTGCAAGCTTGGACACATCCATTCCCACAGCCTGCAAACTCCAAGCTGCCTCACTGCAGGGTGAGGGCTGAACCTGAGCTATGCTCTTGTCTTGCCAAAGTCAACCACACAGTGCTGAAATGCTCCCAAGCCGTTGCCTGGCTCCAACCCTACAATAGATCAGAAATCAGAATAGCTCTTTTTATTGCCTGCATGTTTGGGAAGCTTCCCCAGTGACAGTTTGTTCTCTCCTCCCATGTGCTCACACCTTAAGCATAAATAGCATCATCTACTAATAATGTCATGTTGCCAGATAAGATTCAAGAGATACTTTCGTGAGACCCATCTGCACGTTTGTGCCCAGTTGCTCTGGGTGCTGCCCTGTTCCTGCCTCACTGACAGCTTGCCTGTGTGCATTTTGGGCAGTGCCTGGATCAGGGACAAATGAATGTGGGAAATTGTAGAACAACCCCTCCTGGACAGTTTTTCTTCAAGGTTCTAAAAGTACTTTACAAGATAAAGCATACATCCTAACATGTTTCTGACTAAAAGCTAAGGTTTCTATCTAAAAAATATATGAGAAATGTAATGGTTGTAGCCTGGATTGCAGAGTTGCTGAGACAACATCTGAGAGTGGAATACTTACTCTAAACAGCACAATGTATCACCCCCTGGTCAAAATAGACATGCTGGTAGAGTTGAAAATATGGGTAAGAACAGACAACTGTAAGGCACTGAATCTCTTCCAAGGTCAGTGGGATGCAGTAGAGTCTCCACTGTTAGTGTGAGGAGATGGAAGATGAATTGTGTCTTACCTGTGCTGAGACAGACAGCTCTTCACTCCTGTAAGTGATTTCTTTCAACACCTCTGACATCTTAAGAGCAGCCTGCATTGATGTTACATTAACAGCAGAGAGAGTTGTCAGCATCAGCCCTCGGAGCTTGGGATGAAAAGGGATAATTAGGCAAAGGAACAAGATACTAATTAGGACTGTGCAAGTAGTGCTCAATATTGACAGCCAGGCTTGCTGTAAATTATGAAGTAGAGTAAGACTCCACAACAAGGATCATTTGAACTGATATTAGGCCTAGTGACAAGATGCCACTTGCCTCAGTAATTGTATAATCATGAATTTTGTGTTACCTCCCAGCACAGAGAATTTATAAGCTTTACATCCATTAGGAGCATGGAGAGTTACTTGTGAGAATTTGTACTAATGTATGTGAATGACTGTGTAAATGCCACTTGCAGAGAAAGCAGAGCTATGTGTGATTGATGTTATTCAAATAATGAATCATAATTGAAGGATACATTGCATTTCTCTCGATCTTTTCATCTGAGGCACTCAAAGCACTGTACAAATATCAGCTTACAACTGAAATGTCAACTCGTAGGTGAAATGGCCAAGAGAAAATTACTTGCCATCTAGTGCTTTTGGGGAAAATTGGATAGGGTATTTATCCCACAGGAGAGGCCATTTTAATGATATTGAAATTGTTTGTGGAAAATTGGGTTTAAGTTAACTACTTTAAATTAATGCAGTAACAATTGAGAATTAATTGTTTTACTGGTGGGTGGTAAGACAAATTATTTATGTAGGCAAATAGTGAAAATAGCTGAAAGCTGTGCCAAACACTGAGACAGATGCTAGAAACTTGAAACCTCCATTGATTTCAGGTGGTGATACGTGAGCTTTTTATAACTTAAGAGTTGTCAAAGAATATGAAGAGTCCATTATATGACATTGTACTGCAGGAAAACAATTGTCTGGCTGACCTCTTTTCGTGTATTTGTCTGCAAAGACATGTTAAAGCTTTCCTCTTGGGTCTGCTGGTTAAGGACAGATGTCACTGATTTGTACAGCTGCAAAAGGCTCATGCTGCTGTTCCCATCTTTTAGGATGGTGTTTGCCTTCTCAGAGACCATGCCCTGCAGGGTCAGGTTCCCATCCATCCCATCGGCAGGTCCAACCTGATGAAGAAATCAGATATGCTCTCAACATTGCCAACACTGTTATAATTACCTTTGAACAGCTTCCACGATCATCTTGGTGACAGCCTAGCTACAGTGGGACATAAAACCTCATGTTCCCAGTTTTAAATGTTTTATTTTTAATGACCTGATAAGGATTTTCTTACTGGGGCACTGGGGAAGAAGCAGGGATTTTTTGGGGCCTACAGAGTAACTCCAGACTCACTAAATACATCTTATGCTGCCCAATGTCCAAAGAGATCATCTTTTAAACTTCTGTCCTAGAAAAAGGACGGTGGAAGATATTTCTGACTGCCTTGAGCACACAGAGAATAGTCTTTGTTAGAAGGGAAAATGGTGATTATGGCACATTCAGAAGGAAGTGATATGTCAAAAATAGGAACAAGCTCCAAAAGTGAATCATGGATTAGGTGTCATCTTGAGAGTTCTTGAAAAAAGTAATTCCACTGTGTACCTTCACTGAAGCATTTGTTTGAACTGTATCACCAAAGCTGTTGCTAACAGTGATTGTCACATGTACAATAAAATTATTTTGCTCTTCTCCAAGTGGAAGATAGACTGGGAAGAGTTCAGGATCCGGGCTGCAGTCCAGGAGAGAATCTGAAAGAGGAAAGAGAAGGTGACCCACCAGATACCAGCCAGAGACCTCCTGCTCTCTGCAAACAGGGGACGTTTTCTGATAAATAAGGCTTTGCAAAGTTGAGAAGGTTCAAAAATCAAGTACAGGATTTATTGTGAGGCTTTTCATGGGTTTGGGTTTTTTTCGATATTGGAAGAGGAAGTATATATTTTCATGCATTTTCTGGTAATTCCACATCTAGACCTGCTCATCAGACACAATTCCAGCTATGAAAGCCCACAAAGAGTGCCAAGTGTCATAAATCGGGATCAGTCTCCCCACAGAGAGGGCAGGTGACACCTTTGCTTTTGTCAGTGAAGCAGCAGTGCTTGCTGGAACTGTGCAGGAACCAAACGGTTCACCTGGGGACTTACTTGGTTTCAGGTAGAAGCAGTACGTGAGCTGCCTGTTGGGACTGGGTTGGGATGAACCCACCGAGCCGGGAGCGCTGCAGGAGACCCTGAAGGTGGTGAGCACGGATCCCTGCTCGGGAGACAGGGCACAGGCGGGGATGCTGGGTGGGGACACGGTGCTGACAAGGTACATCCCCTCCCCGTAGCGGCGCTGAGTCACTGCTGGGAGTGGAGGGAGCAGAACATCAGCAGTGATCGTGCCCAGCAGCACCGGGCACTCGCTGTGCCTACTTAGCAACGGTGCTGCTCCTCCAGGCACCACAAACATCAGGCTGGGCCTAATTAGAAATGAAATCCTGCTACTGAAGAAACCATAAGAGGAAAAGAACTATTAAAAAATATGGTAATGCTTGCATTAGAAAGCAAAGCTGTGTTATTTGATCATTAACATAGCTTCATTTTGGATGAGCCTTAAGAAAGTTATTGACAGCTTGCAGTAAGATAACTGATTCTGTCCTTTTGTGCAACAGCCCAGAAAAAACTCATCTCTGCATTATTTTAAAGAACCCACATACAAAGTAACAGCTTTCAACCTGTGGACTTAATTTTCCTTCATGTTTGTCAGCGAGACTATGTGTGTGTAACGTCAGTGTGATGTCATGACGGCAGAGATTATCTCAAAGGAGTCTGAAAAGCCCTAAAACCCTGCTTGTCCCTACCTGTTACTTTAATCTGAAAAGCTTCTCCCTGTGTCTGCAAGAAGGAGCTGTTCATTCTCAACACGGATGTGTTGCTTTGAAGCAAATTCAAAGAGTTCTGCCGGAAACCAGTCAGGCCACAGGCCAGAGGGAGGGTTGTAGACTGGAAAAATCAGACAGAAAAGAAAATATGGCAGTTTTCTGGACAGCAAAAAGGCTCTTTGCTCTGCTTTCTGTTGTGATTTATCAGGAACAGGGTGGCAGTTTGGTGCCCTTCATTATAACCCTTCCCAAACCAGGCACCCCCTTGCCTCAATCTTCACTTGTATTTTCAAAGCGTCCACTTGACAAAGTGTCCCTCTGTGGCTTTCCCTCAGGGGGGACATTTATCTTTGTGTGTATTTGCAGTATTATTTCTGACAAATCTGGTGCTCTCACCTTGGTTTGGGATGTGTTATCCAAATACCAGTTAAAATGTATGGCCTGGGAATCCTTCTGTCCAGAGACACTCAAAACAACTTCATTGCTAATATTCACTGGTTTGCAGTTTGCCTCACACCTGTAAGGAAGTAAGAGGGAAGTTACAAGTTGTAACTGTATGAGATGTCTGGTAGAAATTTCAGACATATGGCATTTATACCCATAGCTTCAATGAGGTTTGCATATGGAAATCTCCAACATTGAAAGGATGTAGGGGGCTCAAAGTGTTTTGGGAAGAATGTTACTCACTTAATAAAACGATTATATACAGAAATGTGGACTGGAAAACAGCAAGACAGTATTTTTACAGCTGTAAATGGATTTACAACAATAAGTTTTCTTTAAGGGCATAGAGGCCCTGGCACAGGTTGCCCAGAGAAACTGTGGCTGTCTCATCCATGGATGTGTTCAAGGCCAGGTTGGATGGAGCTCTGAGCAACCTGGGCTAGTGGAAGGTGTCCCTGCCCATGCCAGAGAGGTGGAATAAGATGATCTTTAAAGTCCCTTCCAAGCCAAACCATTCTGTGATTCTATGACTCTAAAAGTATATTATCACTTTATTATCATTATTATTGGTAACTGTGGCCTTGCACTATATTTGTGCAGTAATAACATTAACCAGTGAATATTGGGGTTTAAAAACAGACCTGATTTCCAGTTGCAGTTCTTGTTTTGCAGTCACATAGAGACACTGCTCGTCCTGCCTCTCTTCACTGCCGTGGTTTTGGACTTTAATCCTGACAGTCACTGCTGATTTTGGAGGAGGAAGGCAGGAAGGTGGGATTTGCACCTCAGATTGGTTGGTTAGGATTATCTGTTGCAGCACACATTCACTCCATGCAGGCCAGCAAGCTCCTGCACAAACATTTCCTTTATAATTAGAACAGTACCTTATAAAGGACTTTCCTACTATAGGTTTTAAAGAACTTAATAGAACAAGAAAAGTTGCCTGAACCCAATTTATAGAGTTGGTAATCTGGGTTCAGAGTATAGGTTGACTTCTTCAAAGAAATGTATGAGGTCAAGGATAATTATGGGGACAGAACACAGATGTCCTAATCCAATTTTCAGCCAGAAATGTTTTTGCATCATGTTTAATACTAATTATTACTGTTTTATTGAGATACATGTAGCTTGCAAATGCCTAACCATGTAAGTCACTTGGGTCTAATCCTTGACTATGAGAGTGAAAGCTTAGAGAAGGCAGACCTTGAAAAATTGAAAGCTCTGGGAGAAGGCAAAGCTGAGTATTATGCCATATTAGATACCATGACTAGTTTGGTGTTAACACCAGGGTAAGGTACAAGGACATTCTTCATGTACAGTGAGTGGCAAACTTTAAAGCCAGAAAACAAACCATCCTTTAGTCAGATTTTCACCACCTGATTTGACACGACAGTGAGTTTGTTACTCATCAAATAGAAGTTGGTGAAAAAAGTTCAGGGAAGTCACATACCACAGGACCAGAGAAAACTGGAGTTACTGTTGTTGTCTGGCCAGCCAAGTGTAACAGCTGTGAAAGGATCCACGTGGCGACTTGGTTTAACATAGATTCTGGGTTCTCTTTTGTGATCCTAAATAATAATAAATGTATCAGTTAGGACAGGAGTGTATATAAACACACACAAATCTTTACAATGAAAAAGATCTGAAAGTTTAGACCCCAAATGACTGGCTGAAGATCTGTGGTTTAAATGGTCTTTCCCTGATCAGAGGTAGTATGGAAGTAGAAGCTCTGGGAACAGAAGCAGATGGCACAGACAAATCGTGTGCTAAAATTCTCCTGAATGCAGAAGTGGCTTGGGAATGCAGGTCCCAGAAAACTAATTCCTGCTAATTCTTGACATCTGGAGCAAGACTTCTAACCCTTGGACAACCACTTGTTTTCTAGTGCACCTTCTAGTACCTCTCTCTTTAATCTGAACTGGATACATTACAGCTATAGATAAAGAGAAGAGAGAGGTAGCTGAGTTGTCTTTCTGGGCCACAAACGGTAATAAACTTGGTTTAGAATTAGATTTATATTCCTCTGATGCAATATATTCCTACAGGCAATCTGTAAAGCATGGTGCCTTCTTGTGAAGCATCATATCTCCTGCAGCAGATGTCTGTCTGCCAGTGTTACAGTTACAAACTAGACCTCTAAGATGATAAAATATTCTATCTGACATTTTTATTCTTTCAATTTGGACACCTGCTAGCGATTGATGTATCCTTAACTTTTTAGTTTGCCATAAATTGGATTTTTTTTTCATTGCAAAGTAATTTATACATTTCAATACAGAAGTGGAAAACACTTGGAAACAATATAAAAATATATTAAATTCTGCTTGAAGGATCACCCTTCAGGGAGAGGTTTGCAATAGCCAAGTAGATTAATTAAAAATTAATCTAAACAAATTTCAGCTTCCAAAACTGAATTGCTGGGAAAAGTTCATTTTCTCTAATATTTTTTTATGAATTGTAGATTGAATGCCTGAAAACACATTTGCCTCCAAGACTTTTGGTGTAGGTTTTGTGTTAAACCATTTGGGGCACAGAACACCTGGTCCCTAATCTACTAAGACATGAATACTTCTCTCCAATGTCTTATGCAGCACTTTGAATGGTAAGAAAAATTTATATGTATTTCAATTTTAACGAAAGATCCTTGAATAATACTTACATTTGCCTTTTGCATATTTGTTTTGTAGCTGCCTTCTACCTTAGCAGAATCTGTTTAATGCCAAAAAGAGCAGAATATTTTAGTGCTACCTGTAAAGCTTTCAGACATCCTCAGTGAATATGACTTAAATCCACAGGGTTTGACTGCTGACAGTGTGACAGGGCTGCAAGAATCAGACTCTAGAGCAGTCAAGTTAAATAGGTAAAATTGTAACAACAAGCTCATCACAGACTGTAAAGAAGATGATCCTGATTCTTCAAACATAACGGTGTAAATCAAAATATATTCACAGAAGGTGATGGAGTTTCATTGATGTACAAAGAAAAATTGGGGGGAAGCACTGGGAAAGTTTCAATACAATTAGAACTAAGGTTACTTTATTCCTGGTATAATCTGATTTTGTAAGTGTAAAGATGAGCCATCTAGAAGCATTTACTGACAGCAATTATAAGACTGCTGTGATGCAAATATTTTCTGGTTTCAAAGCTGTGTCCTGAGCCATAAACTCCACTAATTATTTCTAGGACAAACAGCAAATGAGCAATGTGTAGCATATACAGAGTGATGCTAATTTATGACTACTTCAAAGTCAGGGAATCTGCCTTCATCAGGAAAAACCCTCCACAAAAGTTTTCAGCACTGCTGCTGGAAGGAAAGCAATTACTAGATGCAAACCATAAATATTCCATTAAGGGCTGTGATTGCAAAAAGTGTGGTCAAAACCAGCACTGTCAGATTAATGCGATTACCTTTTTTATGGGAAGTGTTTGCCAACACAGTGATGAATCCAAGATCCAGACTCATGTTTGAGAAAGCATTCTTGGCCACCACTTTCACTAGGAAAATACCTAGAGAAGACAAATGGCCAGTTAAGAGTAGCAGTGGGACCAGTCTATCAGGTTTGGGGAATAACATCCAATTTGTATAGAAAATCCTATTCTTTTCTGTTAGGAGTTTTCAGGGGGTTTTCTGATAGGTGTCCTCTACTGGAAGGTTCTCCTTAATCTCAACTTCTGATAAGCCATCTGCCTTTGTCCTAGCTCTTACCATGCTGTTTTATTATCACACAGTAAAGTAGAGGTGTAAAAATATTGAAGTCCAAATGAGTTCAGGCATCTTGAGAGAGCAGCTGTCTCGTTTGAAAATTTCTGCCTCAAAGAATGGGATGTTCAGATGGGTACAGGAAGACCTAATAAAACTTTTAATATTGAATAATTTTAAAACATCAAATGAAATTATAATTAGCTTCTACTGTTCCAACCTTGGCATGGGATTGGAATAGTTCACTGGAGGATGGAATTTTTTTATCTTCTGCCACTGAATTAACTCCTAAGTACAAACTCCTTAATTTCACATTTTAAAGGCCTTGATTACTTAGTAATGGAAAGAAAATATTGCTTAAAAGCTTATTCATAATTGAGTCCAACAAAAACTACGAGTTAGAAATGGGCACACAGAAAAGCTCCCCTTTTCTTTGACATCTCTACTGAGAACTCCTCAGATTGTTAATTACTTCAGTGTAAAACGCAGAGGAGTCTAAGCTTGAAATGAACAAACAGGAGGAAAACACTTTGTGATTCAGGAAAATGTCCTCATTTGTACTTGAATCAGATTGTGTCATAAAAAAATAAACCCTATGTCTTTTTACTGTGTCTCTTCCATTGCAAGGCTCAGGTGAAGCCTTTTAGCTCCCTTACAAGTCACTACGACCGTGCTGCTCACACTGCTCTGCACACCAAGTTTAGCAGTCGGAAAAGCCACCAAATTCAGCTGTACTTTTTTGTCCCCTCCATCCCAGGATGCTGTGAGCCTTTCTGTGAGCTCTACTCAGCTGTGAGTGTTTGGGAAGCACAGGAGGTGTCAGTGCTGTACCTTCCGAGTGCACGGGAACCACGTACGTCCGAGGTTCCCCGCGAGGACCATCCTCCGTGTGAGAATGACTTCCCTTCGATCCCATCACCTCAAACGTCACCTCAGCTGGGGCACCACGAGACACAGAGACATTCACCTCCAAATTCTCCCCCAGCTGCAGAGTGTGGGAAGCCAATGCAGCCTGAAGCCCAGATATTGGCTCAACTAAGTGAACAGCAAAAGTCTCGGAGATCTCTGACGCCGTCGTGTTGCTGGATGCTCGGATTTCCAGCTGATGTATCCCTGGGCCTAGCAGCTCTTGAGAGGCACTGTCCAGTGTCAGGTTATGAGGGGCAATTCCTTCCTTTGCACTGGATTCAGCCAGGGTTATGTTATCTGCTGACATAATGTAGGTCACTCCGTTGCCTGCAAAAACACACACCGAAATTTCTCACAGCTTGTGTAATAGGCCAACCAATTCCAGCTACTTTGTGCAGCACTCCAGTATTTATGCAGGAGTCACAAGAACTGCAGCAATGCAGTCTTTTTTAATAAAGTCACTTTAGGTGACTTTATGGAAGTCTATCATGTGTTTCCTGCTGGTACTATTTGGGCAGCCAAGAGAATTCATACACTACAGAATTTTATTTTTTCCACATAAATGTGGCTTCCAGAAACTTGAAGTGAGAAAGAAATGTACACCAGCAAATGTGCCCAGCTCAGCGTGGAATCCTCTTACCCTCAATCAGGGAAGCATTTCTGTGAATTTCTAACTTCAAATACAGGAACATTCTGACTGGCATCCTGTGGATTTATGTGACTAAAGTTAGAGTTCATGCTCTGACAGAGCTCATGCTCTGTCAGCTTTGTGCATAGGAAAAAATCATTCATACTTATGTTTTAGGTGGTGAAATATCTCTGAGAAAGAAGCCCTCCAATGAAGCTGAGAGCATTCAGCTGCAGGAATGAGAGGGAAAGCATTCTCTAAAAAGAAGGATTGCTTTGCATAATGAAAACCTTGCTTCTGTCCCATGGGTGGCATAATATTTATCCTGCCCTTGAAATTATGCAGAGAAATTACCCTCACCTCCATTGAGTTCCACCTGAATCCACAACACCTCCCCATACAGTGCCCGGCAGTGAGAGCTGTTCCCAGTTTCATACTGGCTGTAGCACCCAGTAATGCTCAGTTGATCCATCTTATCTTGGACAGTCACCTGCCTCTGTGCCATCACATGCCATTCACTGGTGGTGCATTCCACAAAAACAGTGAACTCTCCAGGAGAGGTGTATCTGTGTGTGATGTTGCTGACCAGCCTGGAACAGTAAGAGAACAGCTGCTTGTTGTGGAAGCCTGTCCTGAGAAGTCCTTCACCCTACGTGGTAACACTGGTCACATTCCCAAATTTCTGACCTGGCTCAGCAATCCTGCAATCACTGTAGTCCCTTGTTTATTTGAATAGAATTTGTGGGGTTGAAGATTGTCTCCTTCTTCCATCTATGGTGTTATTAGGGCTGTATATCAGGGTGGTCACCCCCAAAGCACATCTATAAGGGTGGGTACATTTTGCTGTCAAGTAGGGAGATGACAGGTTTTAGGTGCAGCTGCTTCTGTCCTTGCCTGTGCCAGCAAAAATGTCTCTTCACTCCTGGGTCTGGTGCAGCTCCAGTCAGGAGAGCAGTGGGAGATGAATGGTTGTGGGGGTTGCTATTGTCACTAACACACACAGTGTGTTAACACACACAGTGGTGCAAAGAGCCTAAGGATATCCTTCCTGAATTACAAACACCATGGAAGGCAAATCAGTAATATTCCCAAAACTCTTCTCTCCGAACTCCTTAGATTCTTACCATGGTATCACCCAGTAAATGCAAAGATCAGGACATATCACCTATGATAATGCATATTTTTCATTAGATGTTTGAATGAAGAAACAGGTTTCACTCTAACTGGACTTCCAGAACATGCCAAAGACAAGATCAGACCCAAAAAAGCAATTCCTGTGAGTGGGTATCAGACTGGACATAGAACACAGATGAGTGTGTCTGTGAGCTATTTAGTAGGTGAAGTGCTTCCCATAAAACCAGCAAGCCTCTGCTTACAGCTGGCAAATATATTTTACATAAAGGCTTGCTACTAAAGATTTTCTTTTCAAGTTCTTTACATCTGCAGGCCTGTGTCTGTAACTCTGAAAGAAAGTTTACTGTATCTAGTACATTAATTCTTTTTGGTTTTCGTTCTTGTACTCTTTGTTTTCCTAGTTCACCCAAGTAGGATTCCATCAGTAGATAAATAAATTTCTAGAGCTCTTCTCTGTCATTTCCAGCACTTGGACAGAATCTGACTTTTAAATCCAACAGAAAAATGTTTGATCTCTTAAAGATAGAATTTTTATGCAATTGAAAAAAAAAAAAGTCCAGAATGTCCTTGTTATATTTTAAATGTTATCAAAAAATACTCTTTAAAGTTAAGAAAATAACATTTGCATATTCCTTGGCAATTACTGACATGTTTTCAGTAATTTTGAGCCTTAGGATCTGGAATAAATTCTCTTAAAACTAGGAAACACTTGTTATAATAAACAGAAGAAATATTGTGGTTGGCAGCTTGACATAAAGTTTTGTAGCAATTTCAAAAGAGGGTTCTGCAGATCCAAGTGTCTTGTAGTTATGGCCTATTATTAATCTACATAATTTTTAACATATCATTTATGAGACTGGGAACATTCAATAAAGTGCAAGCAATGAAATGTGGTGTTTGTGTGATGATACAGGAAGGATATATCTTACGTTGGAGGGTAGTAAGGATCGACAGTGTGACCATCTCCAGTGCTGATGGTACAGGACAGGTTGCCAGAGTATGGTGAGAGCAGCCAGTTCAGACTGACCGTGATATTTTCAAAGACAAAACATGAATCTGTCACAAGCAGCTGCAGACCTGTAAAACAGAATGACAGAACTCCATGCCAGTGTTTGCCTGCATTTCTTACATAATTTAATCCATTTTCATGCATTGAGAGCCAGCCTGCTCCAAAACAGGGTTGATGCTGCTGCTGATTTGTGTGTGTTGGTGGTGTGACAGGGAGCTGATTCTTTCCTATACCTACTGGTCAAGATTCCTGTTGGACATAATTTTATTCCAGTGTGGTTTATGTGTCTGGATTTCCAAGCTTTGTATTCTATCCAAACCCTTCAGTTAGGACAGGGAATCTACATTTTTATGCTTATTTTTAGTGGTCACTGCTATTCCAGTTTCTTCCCTGAGGATGGAGCAGTGATTTTTAAGATAAATATCAATGGTCACAATGTTCCAGCACAGAGCAGGGCAGGCTTTTGGTGTTGCCAGCCCCTTCCCTCTTACCTTCCTTGCAGTGGTATTGAATAGACAAATAGCTTCCCCAAGCTGGACAAGGATCTCCAAAGAAAGTGCCATCTGCTGTCACCTGGCAGGCCTGGAGACCATGACACTGGCCTGGAAAGAAGGAGAGTTTTGTATCAACTGCTGGGTTTTGTCTTTGACTGTCACAACAGAGGAACAAAAAGCAGAGGAGAAGCAGTACCATGTCACTGAGTTCTAGACAAACTTCCACATCGCTTTGGCTGCAGTGTGTTGCTTAATGCCTGGTATTTCTTAGCACCATTTTATTTTATTGGAATAAAGCTGAGTTAGAGCAGGTAAAAAAGCCCAAAGAATCCCCACAGGGACAGGTCACAGTCACTGTTTAGTCTGGGAAGCAGCAGAACCCTTGGCCCCAGTGGGGTCAGTGCTCCACACACGGAAGGGAGCAGCAGGTCCCTCCTGCCCTCATGTTCCCGTGGGTGTCAACCCTCCTGGGTTGGAGTTGGGTTTGTCTGGATGTGTCCTCTCCCATCTCTGCCAACCCTGGCATCTCCCACTGAGTTTGTCAGGGAGTAATGTGCCCACACACTTTCTTCACACAGCGACAGGAGCCAGGTGCACCTTTGTTCTCCATTTGCTCCTCCTCTCCTTCTCTGAATCTTTGCTCCTTACAAAGTCCCTCCTTTCCATCCAGCCTCCTGTAGGAACCTCCTCCCTGTCAGTTCTCTGTGATCCCCTTCATTTTAGGAATAATCCACTTTCCCATTCACAAACTCCACTGAAATACAAGATAAAATACTTCAGGGACCAGGAACTTTGGCACATACTCTCTGTTTCTGACAAGCAATGCCATAAATTACCTGCTACTTCATCTTTGACACTGATCCAGCTGCAGCCTTCATCTGTATCCTCCTGGAGTGGAGTCTCAGACACACAGTAATAACGAGTCTTCCGTCCATAGAAGCTCTCTCCAATTTGAATAACTTCTCCAGATCCACACTGCACAGTGGCATTGTAATTATCACATGCAATGCTCTGGCCAGATTCTAGTGGGAAAAAAAAAAAAAATCTAACTTTTGGCATTTCTGAAAAATCCTGCTACAGTTCTACTGCATGTCCCCTTTTTTTGTTTCTCTTTCTTCCCTTTTCTCCCTTCTAAGCTAAACAATTAAGAAAATGAAAAAAAACCCCACTCAAATAATAAATATTTTTATTTTTTAAAAGTCAAAATGAATAGATTTACGTTTTAACTGCCTTAAACAAAACATTGAGGGCATTTTCAAAAAACAAAAATATTTTAATCTAAAAAGTAAACTTTTTTGGGGGAAAAGTCTTCACGTTTGTTTGACTTGCAGTACTGGAAGGTTTAAAGTTACTCTTTACTTCCGAAAGAGCCTTGTGGTGGTGTGTGATTTGCATAATCTTCAGGTAATTGCTGAGGAGAATAGTTTGCATATTAAGTATGGGACCTGATCGCATTTCTGCTACAGAGACACCTTTGTTCCTGTGTGATATTTGACTGACTTCATTCAGCAGGACTGCTCAGATGAGTAAGGTCATAGCTCTAAATGCATACACCTCATTCTTTGATTAATCTAGGACAGTTAATTATCTCTCAGAATTCTTAGTATCCTATAGTAATCAGGATACTTAATACCCTAAAGAGGAGGATGTGAAAGACTGCTCCCATATGGGAGTGTTGCAAAAGAATGTTTTTGTTTCAGCTGTCCCAGGTTTAAATAAGTTGTCCTCCAGTTGCTGTTTGGATCATTCCCCTCAGGTCCCTCTATTAACTGTGCCAGTGTGTGCACAGTGCAATAATTGTGTGCTATTGTTATTTAAAGGCTAAGGCTAAGCCTGGCTGTAACTATAGCAACATGATCAGTTTACAGATTAGAGCTCTCTAAATAAGCTTGAAAAATAACTTGCTGTTAAATTCTAGTCCAGACTATTATCTCGTGCATTTTTTTGGTTCTTTACTTTATATAAAGATTTCCTGCAGTCTTTGCTGTCTCAGCAACTTTTACATGGAAAGGTGCACAAAACCTGATTTGCATTCCTACGTACAGACACTGGTTCAATACACACATATTTACTACAATAAATTGCTAACCCACAGAGCATCAAATGGTAGAATTGAAATAATAAGAAACAGAAATAATGCTCGGGTAGATGGGCAAAAAAAGGATGAAGACAGAACGCTGTCTGGTCAGTTGATTGTGCACATATTCCTAGCTCAGGTGATCAAGTAGACAAGTTACCAGGCATCAGAGAGATTAAATTCAAATATTGGTACTATATGGAACCACTATTCATTTCAGTGTCCATGAGCACCAAGCTCCCAGTAGCCATGAATGAAGCTGTGAAGTACCACTACATCCATTTTACAGAAAAACCAAGGCGCTGTCAAGTTGTGGAAATTTCCAAACATTTATCACCCAGAGAAGCTAATGAAAATATTTCCCATTTCTTTGGGGTGTTGGATCTAATTCCTTGCATGCAAGGCTGGTAAAAGAGGACTCTTTTACTCATGTGTGAATGCACGTGGGCTGGAGATACTGAAAACAAGGCTATAATTGCCTCAACAGTCTGGTTTCCTGGGTAGTGGAATGATGGATGTAGTGTAGGATATTGTTGCCCAATAATGCAAACTCTCTTTGAATTTAATGGGCTCTAAGTCAGATCCTATGGTAACAGATGATAGTTTCCTTGCAAGCAGACAGTTGTCTACCGTGGTTGTAATGGAAAAATAATTTTAGTCTGTTTTTGCAAGGAAAGTAAGCTTAAGGGATTGTGCTGTCTGCCAATTTCCTCTCCCCCAATCATTTTTAATGTTAGTCATCTTCAGCCAGATTTGATATAAACCTCAAAACACCCTAAAATTTCATGAAAAGCAATTGCTAGGGAGAAGAGAAGGAGCTACATCATCACCTCTATTAGGACTAGGGATTATAACCCTGTTTATCTGCTCCACGATGTGGGATTCCACTGGCCAACCCATACAGCTGGAGTTCTGGAGCAGCTGCAGAGCTGCAGGGGAGGGAGCTGAGGGAATGAAAAGTATTTGCAGAGGTGGGACATCCTGGGGATTTGGGAGTGAACTGGGAGTGTTGAGGAGGAGGGCAGGGAGAGGATGTGGAACAGAAAATCAGGAGAGGAAATAAAACATTATTGGCTTTGCTTATTGCGGAACAACTTGGTATTAATGTCAGAAGTAGAAGAGTGCTGGACCAGGGCAGCAGCACTTCTAGGGCTTGTGGAAACCTGTACTTGCATACTTGATTCAAAGTCTTTTTATATCAGTGAGCCCACAGCCAGACTGTTCTTCCAGTGCTTATGACCTCAGTTCTAGTTACCGTTTAAAGTACTTATGTGCAAAGTGCGAGGAACACAAACTCCCCTCATATCTATATGTTGAATGGGATGATATTGCAGGCATTCCTTTCCAGGACTGTTTGTTCCAAGTCACAATCTAAGGGACACAATGTCTGTAGATTTTCTGCCTGAGCACTAAAATGCCATCAGGAAGCACAGGTTCTTGTCTGGTTCCTTAACCCGGGGATGCCCTTGAACTTCACCTGATGGAGGGGTCTAGGAAGAAACAGGAAAAACTTGCTCTCACTTTTGCTCACTCCAGGCTTCCAGGAGTGGTTTGTCCGGAAGCCTGGCTGTATTTCTGCTTCGGTTACAAATGGAAATTATTTTGGCACACATTTGTGATCAAGAGTGTCTTTACAGGGCAGTCATACAGGTCCCACCTCGCTCAGGTGCTGTGGGGGTGTGGGAGTTTATTCTTGCAATCATGCTTTAAAGTAGCCAGCTGATGTCCACTATGGTCATGGACAACTACACACGAGATTCACTCTCAGACCCATTTCTGCTTCACTAGCCCTCTGCTGGCACCCTGGACCTCAACAGTGGGTTGCTGAGCACCTGCATCTCCCAGTGATTTCTGGGTTCTTCCTTCTTTGGATCAGGTCTTACAACAGCACACTGGAAAAAGAGCAACTGCTGGGGTTATATTTTGCTTGTTTGCATTTAATAAGATTGATGAAGTTGTTGCCCAGGTACTTTGAAAGCAACAAGGCAATTTATGCCCAGTTGTGATCACAGCACACTCACTTTGCTGTTCCAGCACTTGTGTGTCTTACCAAACTCACAAATGAAGTCAAATTCCTGGCTGCAATTTTCAGTCACACCCCACTGATACTTGGCATTCTTCAGGATGTACCCACATGTGGATGAGAAGGAAGATGGCTGATCCTTGTACCAGTTGGTGTAGCTTATATTTGAAGAGTCCAGCCAAATCATCGACTCTGTGAACAAAGAAATTGTGTCCTGAATGTTTATTTTCCACAGTAATTCAATTAAGAGCCTGCAGAGCAGGATTGTAACTCTGCTCCTACTGAAGCAGAGGTGGTTTAGTCTGGGTAAGGATCTTCAATTACATTTTATATTGAACCTGATACAATCATTAAAACAGACACTGCCACTTTGTCCTGTGATACCAGCCTCAAGATTCCACCCTTTTGCTTGCATCAGACCTTGCAGCACTTCCTTGTGGGATGAATTGGCTCAGCCTGCTCTTCCACTGGAGACCTAACCCAGCACATTTGTTTCACTGGGTCAGCAGCTGATCTAATAAACCATGTGTTCACACAACCACAAGACCCAGTGGAAAGGGGGATAATATGCAATTGGGAAGTGAAGCAGGCAATTAAAAACATCTTACTATAGATCTGAAGATACAGCAACAAAAGACAGAGGCTTCTCAACAGATATCTATAGAGGGACTGATTGCATTTTCTACCATGTTAAGAAAGCATCACGGGCTGATACAGATTTAAAGATGTGATTCTAAAACCACCTACCGTCAGTAGTTTCATTCTGCAAGGAGTTTGAGATGAGTCCTATCCACCACTCCTGATCCTCAGCAATATGTTTTTGTAAAAACTCTTGAGTTTCCTCATTTTGAATAAAGACAAGGTGCCCTCCTCCTCTCTCACACCAGCTCTGGGCACTTGTGAAGCTTTGCTGGAGTCTCACAAACTCATAGCAGGAACGGTTGAAAGCTTGCTGGTACTTTGAGCAGGGGATTCCTTCATCATCAGTTGCTTCCTCCCCAGCCAAACATCCAGCAAGAGAAACCAGAACTGCAATCCCCAGCCACATTTCCAGCTCAGTGCCCTGTGTGGCACTCGTCCTGCTTACCACACCACCACTCCTTTTGCTGCCTTCTTCAAAAACTTGAGATGTCATCCCTGTCACGTCATCAGCATTCCTCCCCTTTGCTGCTTCCCACAGCAGCAGCAAGAGAGTGTGGAACAGGTTGCTTGCAATATATAATGGTGATTGTGTCCAAGGAGACACACAACAGGTGCTGGTGCTGAGCCACTGCAAGGGCCTTGTGAGGCCCATTGTGCAAATGTCACATCCCAGGCGGGATCAGTTTGAAAGGAACACATTAAAGCATTGCTTTCCTCATGAGCAGACAAGATAAAGTTGATATATGCTGCTGTTGGACATGTGGGAAAGTGAGATAAAGCTCCTCCATCAAAGGCATCACTGTGCAAACATTAAAGCTGGAGGTCTTTATAACAACAACAAAGAGATACAATAATAGGAATGAGAGGAGAATGAGGAAAGTGAGCAAAGCAAGGAGTTATGAGATGAGAAAACACATACTGCTCCTCTAGATACAATTTAAAATTTTTAAAACTATTTAATGGTTTTGTATTGCTTTATTTTTAACAATTGTTAAATTGTCTGAGGTGCTTCTTTTGGATGCTAATGCAATGTATGTCTATCATTATTGAATCGTATTCATCCTGCCCACCTGTTTACACATATGCAGGTTAATCTCAGCTGTTCCAAGAAAGTTTCATTTTGAACTGTTGTGTCTTAGAATTCCACACCCCAAGTGAAATGCTCCTGTCATCCCTTAAAAGCTAAGTTGCTCAGTTTCATAGAGCTACAGTATTTATACCTGCTGGAAGGTAGAGGAGAAAGCCTGAAGTTAAAATAATGATTTAGAAAAGATGAAAATATTGCCTTAATCATCAGAACTACTTGGGAGCCCTATGTGCACATTCCAAAGGCTGCTGATGGACCTCAGGAAGCAAGCCCAGCAACATTTAGGAGCTGAAATCCTTAAGTGCACCTCAGCTTCCTTATGAAAGATACCCATCAGGTTTACAAAGCTCCAGTAGAAACACAGCACAAAGAAGGATCTGTAGCTATTGTGATCCTCCTGCCCTTGGCATGAACTCCATTGGATTTGATGCCATTATTACTAATTTATGGCACCATAACCCAAAACTGAAAGAACATGCACTTATATTTAGCCATGGATCAGTGAGCCAGTTACTGCATCCCAGAGGTGCAGGAACCTGAGATGTTGGATGGATTCCTGCATTGCAGAAATGCCTCTTGCATTGTTGCACCGGGGAGCTGAAGGCAATGCCCACACCTGCACTGTGCCAGTGCAGCCCCAGCTTTAAAGCTTCCTGCCAAAGTATCAAATGTTTGCATCCAGTCAAACATTTAAGAGTGATCTTCAATCCCAAGACCTTTCTGGACCTCCAGTTCGTGGCTATCTTGCTCAGCTGGATAAAGCAGGACTATGAAGAGGGTTTTCAAGATAAAGTTTATGGGAAAGTGTTTAATGGGTAGGACAATTGAGGGAGATGAGAGGAAAGGGGAAGAAAATATACTGTGATGCCTCCATAGACACTGTGCTGGATGTTTTCTTTCTCACCACACCTGCAAATCACGACTTCAGCTGTGGAACCACTGGAGCAGATCCCACACGAATTTCTGACTGATTAATAGGGAGAGCTTATGTAGCAGCTGAGATGTGACTATTCCAACTGGGTTTCTCTGCTCAGGAGAAGGCCAACCCATATTTTAATTATCTGATGGATCTGGCCCAGACACCCATCCCCTTCCTGGAAGAGACCATGTAACTATGATTATCAGCTGGTTCTGTTGGGAATATCCACAATTTAGGAATCCCTTTTGGGCCACATACACAGCTTCACAGGCTTCAGTTTGGGAACCCCCAACCCCACCGTTTTACATCCAAGCTGCTGCAGCAGGCAGAGCTGGGGGCACCTGCTGTTCAGTCAGTTGGCCACTGTATATTTGCATGATATTTTCTTCAGAGTCTTTGCTTCTTCTGGGGCCCTGCTGACTTGCCAGGCTTTGCAGAAGCTGGCAGCCAGCCCCTACTTTGGCCTTCAAGATATGAGAAACACAGTCTGTTCCTGCAAGCACAGGTGTGATGGAGGAGACTCAAACACATCAGGCTTAGTGACACAGCCTGTGCATTCCCAGTGGGTGCCTTTGGCTCACTTTTGTGAGGAATGTGTTCTGTAGCATCATCCAGTTCTCCCTCTGCAACTGGAAGTTTGACTGCATGGGCATACTGCTAAAAATGCCAGAGCTGGGGGTGCCACAGGCTGTCCTCTGGGAACCTGCTCCAAAGCCATTGAAAGTAATGGAAGTCTTGTCTCTGGCTTAGACAGATTTTGAAACAGGCCCTGAAAAAGAACAAATAATGTTTGGAAATGTCTACAAATAAAGCCAAGCTCTCCAAGTGAGTCTACTGTTGGCAATTTCTATAGCAATGTGCATTTTTTTCCTAATCTACGGTTGCTATAAGTAACTCTTCAGCTGCCTGCAGCAGATGGAGAGTGGAAGAAAGACAATTTCCCTCCTTTTGCAGTTTGTTGACTTCATATATTTTAGTGCCAGTGGAGCGGTCTGTCAGTTTATTCTGTTTACCACAAGAAAAGAAAATAACTACTTTTAGGCATCAAAATGAGGGTGTTCAGGAGAAGAGAAAATTCTGAAAGCCTTTTCACTCATAAGTGAAAAATGACTGGATGTCAAGTAGGCAGTGCTCCTTGAACTTACCTTCTTGTGGGAAACCTGCCTTTTGCATTCTTCCTCAACAGAAAGACTTTCTTTTTTAAGTAGTTTTCCCAATATCTTCACACCCTCACTCCAAGCTGCGATAAAGCTTTGAATGGCTCCTTTGTTTGTGAGCTCTCTTGAGTCTGTTGGAATAAGACTTTCATTTTTTCTCAGAAGTGTTTTAGGGGGCCCTGCAGATCTCTTACACAGCCCTAACTTGCCCTTGGGAGTTGCACCAGATGGTGGCCATGGAGGGAAAGTTTCTTCAGAAAGGCATTGTGCTGTATAAACCATCACAATTGACAATGATGAATGATTTACTCCTGGTTTTCAAATGGATCCTTTGAGCTTTATTCACTTTTCGTTGTTGTTTTAAGTAGAAGCTCTCGAGGTGAAAGAAATCCAAAGCATATTTTGTTTTTGCAATGCTGTAAGAGTTATTAGGTGTTAAAAAAAATGGTGGCCTACACTGAGATTCTCTAAAGGAACCTTCTAGGTGCTGTTCAATGCTCCTGAAACTGAGTCCCTTAAAACCAGCTCAGTTTTGATGTCCCAGTCTCAAAGTACTCCTAATCCCCAATTTATTTCTTTTTAATCTAAGTTTATATATATAACTTACATGCTATTTAGAAAGTTTAACTGTATAAGCCAAAATTCTTAGGAGCCAGGAGATGAGCACACACAACTCTTATCTAACACGTGTAGGTGCAGTAGGATTCCCTTGACACCTCCTCAAATCAGCCTTTCATGCCCCAAATGAGGCATCAAGCCTAATTGCAATTTTTGAAAAGTACAAGCCTGAATTCTTGTTCAACACAATCAATAGCTCCATAGTTCAGGGCACCCTGAATCCAGCTGCACATTTCTCCATGACAACTGAAGCTGTCAGGACAACGCATCTCACTTATAAGACTTTTCTGTTTTTCTGAACTTTGGTGCCCCAGACCTGAGGAAAAATCAGATCCAGAGTTTCACTGGGCTAGCAGAGAGCTGGGTGTGCAGACAAGGGGGACAGGTATGGTGCCCCCACTGGCTTTGGGGTGGTCCTGTTCTGTACCCTAGTGCAGATTATCTACACCATGACAGCCTGAGAACCTCCCGTGATTCCAAAGGGCACTGCAGCTCTGCAGAAAAGCTCCACAACCCATAGTAGGGGCCAGAAAGTACTAGACTGAAGAATTAAGGAAGTGAAGAGCTGCCAGTGGGAAGGAATAAATCACACCCCCATTCATTTTGGCTGTTGTCCATTTGCCTTGAGGAAGAGCAAGTAAATTTACTCTCTATAAGTGGATATTACCATCTTTACATTCCTGAGTATTACTGAATGTAATGTATAGATTTTATCAGGAATAGAAATATATCTTTGTTCTATTAATTGAATAAACATAAGAATGGAAACCTGATTTACATTTCTTTGGCTTTAAGGTAGAAAAAAGACTATTTTTCAGGTTTATCATTAAGTTAAAATCATGAGTAGTCTATTTTACTGTGTCACATAAAGTTCTTCAGCGTGAAGAACATTATTACCTGAATAGGTAATAACTGAGTCCTGAGCAGACTGTCCAGAAAGGGATGGAGAAAAGCCCCTAGGGACACCTACACCTTCTATCTCCTCAACTGGCTTTAAAAATGCCCATCTCCCAATTAGTTTAAGAAGGTGGGTCACAATCAGCCTTCCTTCCTTCCTGCTCTCCTGTGCTGCTTGTCCTGATGGGGAGACCTGGTTATTTGCTGACTGAAAAGGGTTTGGCCTTGTTGTTGCTTCCACCGTTTAATTTTCCATGAGGCAACACACTGAACTTACCAGTGAGCCGTGCCAAGTTGCAATTTTGATGGTATCTTGTTTATAAAAACAGGGAAAACAATTCTTATCTCACATAGGGTGCAATAATTAAATTAGACGCTCATGCCTGGCAGGATGGGGTCAGGATAAAGATAAGCAGGATTACATTCAGGAGCTGTTGGGTTGGACATAATTTCTGTTTATAGGATGTGTATGGTTACCTTCTGGCACAAACATCCTCTGGATAAGTCCCTGAGGATCTTTTCCTTTGGAAGTATCTAGTACTGCCTTTGGTCTGTAGCTGGACTTTCCTCACCTGCCATACAGTTGATGCCTCAATGCCTGCCTCTTTCCCAGCTCATTCCCATTTGTTATTGCTTTCCACAGCAGAACTTTGACTAGTAGGAAAAGAGGGCTAAGTGTGCCCTGGAGTGAGCTGGAGTTATTGATGGCCAAGGTCAGCCTTGAGTTCAGCAGAAAGGAGCAGAACTACGTGAAGAACCTGATGACACCTCCTGTGTCCTTGTGATCATGTTTGACTAAGTGGCACAAATTATATGTGCCATTGCCTTAATATCTTAATTAGAGAACTGTTCAAACCATTAAAGGTGCCCTCGTTGAGTAAAACATTAAACTGCTGGACACAAATAGACTGAACTTTGCCTAGCACACACAGAGACACAAAAACAATTTGCTTGGATCTGAGTTTACAGGCATCACGACTTTCACTGGTGTCATCTGCCAACTCTCCATATTTCTGTAGATTGGAATTCTCCCTTTTCCACAAGCCATTCCAGCTTCCACCTCTTCTTTGGTTTATTTAATGTTGTTACACATTTTTTCTTCTGCCTGTTGTGAGCTATTTCTGAGCTTACAGGACATGAAATCAGAAAGAAAAAAGCTGTATTTCAAGAATTCATTAATAATATCTCTTATCAGTAGACGTCCAACACCTTAGAAAAGAGATGAGCTTAACAATCCCCATAATGAGAAGACTTGAGGTCCAGCAGCTTCACCATTTTTGTGTTAAGCCCTCTACACTCAGCTGCCACCTGACTAAAACCAGAAAGAAGCTCTTTAGAGTTTTAATTTATGTTCCCCCGAAGTTGTACAGGAGGCTACAAGGTAGGACAGTGTGTAGCAACATTAATTCTGTCCCTGCACGTGCCTGTGACCCCATTTCTACACCTTCAGTCCTGGAAGTGAATGCCAACCTTCATGTTGTCATTCTGCCCACTTGAGAACACAAGAGTGAACTGTATAATATCACATATTAAATCATGCAAATTGTCTTGGGATGTTGAAAGGTGCAGATAAGATTGTAGAAGCCTTACAGTGAGGAAGTTTATGTGGCTGTTTATTTGTTTTACTGTCTAGTGTTTAAGTATTTGGGCATGATGATCACTGGGCAGGCTCAGCTTAGTTGAAATCTAGTATGAGTAGGCCAGAAGTTCTGTGCCTAAGCACTTAAAGAGTTTTAACACTAAGTTACATTATACTTTTATTTTAATGAACAAATCAGAATTTGTGGTGATATGTGTTAAAACTACGACTGTATATAAAAGAATATAGTATTTTTATCAAAGAAATTGTGAAATCTCACAAAAATCTCCCCCCTCAAAAAAAAAAAAAAAATTAAAAATCTCATCAAGGACATTCAAATCTCACAAAAATAGTTCTTTTGGTCCAAACAATACTGATCAAAATAGTGTATGATCAAAACCATTTTGATCCAAATGCAATCTGGTCAAAATAATATATGGAAAGTATTGTTATTTAAATTTGAACAAACTATATTAGTCATTTGTGTTTGCAATTGTATTGGGACAGTGCAATAGATACATTCCTAAATAATCTGGTGGTAGTTTTGTGAAATGAGATCATGTCAGTAAAACAGTATTTAACAAAGATAAGAGCTTGCAGTCTCCAGCAGGCAAGATAGCAATCAGTGTGATTTCAGCAAGAACAACTCCTGAGTTCATATCAGGTTTGCTGTTGGAATTTTATTTGGTAGTAGGAGATAACAGTTGTAGTTGAAAGTTCTTAGCGGCGCTGAAAATTGTATTCGTCAAGTCAATTTGACCTTTGTTAATGGGCTTTAATTAGAACTCAGACTTTACAAGCAGAAGATTGAGATTAAAATAAATTAAGTATTATAAAGATAAGGAATTATATTGGTGTCTGAGTGATTTTTAAGGCAATGATTTGCTTCTTGTTAAGTGAACCAAAAGTACAAAGGTGGCACTCAGCAGTGACATCGTTGTACCAGAAATGTGGTTGACCAGCTTTGCTGTCCCTGGGAAGTACCACCAGACTGATGCTGGGCAGGGTAATTCTTTGCTCCAAAAATGTCTTCATGGCACTTTTAAAGTTCGGGAGAGAAGCTCAAGGCACACAGAGACTGGAGGGAAGTGAAAGTGAGAAAGAAGTGAAGAGGAAACAGCTTGTAGCCTTCACCGCAGTTCTTTAGAGCAGAAAGAAAGAGTGAAGCAAACCCACCCATGGTGGGGAGCTGATGATTTCAAAAATGTTGCCATGAGGGGTGAATAGAGAGACGAAACTGAAAAGAAAGGCTACATTTACTTGGGGGAAGTTTTATAGTCAAAGGGGTTTGCAACAAGAAGAAACCTTGTGAAATAATAAAATTAGAAAAGTCACCTGATCCACAGCTTCTGCTGGTGATAATTACATATAATTGTAAATCAGTGCTTTGATATTTCTCCATTTCAATGTAAAAAGGGGGGAATGACACAGTTGGCAAGAAAATTCATCTCTCCATACCTTACAAAACTGTTTATTTGTCATTCGTGTGAGGAAAACAACAACAAAAGTGTTTTGTTGGTAAATGAAGTATCTTTTACCAACAAGCAGGAAAAATGAACTCTGCAAAGCTTCCTTATTTAAGTTGTACAAAATATGAGACAACACTTCCAGGCATAGACATTTGAAATTAGACATTTGAAATTAGCTACCAAACACATTTAGATTGATTTCAGAAGCTGCTGGATATCTCTAGCTCCTTGTTCTTCCATCCAAACAACATTTAACAGGTTTCCAACTGTCTCATCTTGGCTGACCTTTAAACTACATGAACAGTCATGGTGGAGAAGGCAAAAGAGTTTTGAATTAATCTTTTTATTTCTTGCTTGCTCTATGGAAATCTTAATACCACTACAGATAAGACAACTCACAGGTCAGATAATGAAAACTGCAGCATTAAGAGCTGCACACAGCAATGGATGAGGATAATGAACACACTAAAGCAAAGCAGAACATTGTGGACAGAGAAAATGTCCTCATGGCTTAGGGAAAGTAGAGTTGGGCACCTCTGGTTTTTTGCCAGATCCTTTTCAGCCTCTAACACTGCTGAAAAATCCCTTACTTGACTTTGTGTATAAAGTAAGTCAACATCTCAATGCACACACACACACTCTTTCTCTCACACATATGCAAGTCCATATATGCACATATATAGTGTACATGTGCATTTATGTGCATGTATCTGCATATGTGGATTTTAGTGCCCTTCCTCTCCTACAGCCTTCTGGTTCATTCCTGCTGTTTATTAATATTCCTAATTCCAACAAAGATCTTATATTTTCTTTTTTAATCTCGTTTCTTATTTTGTTATCTCCCGCTTCTTCAGTGCTTTCCAAAGATGGACCAAGACATTGTCCTGCTGATCCCCTGGAGTGAAGGACAGGCAGTGGGTTAGGAGAACAATATATAATGAGTGTATCAGAGCAGTCTGTGGCACAAATTGTGTTTTGAATAAAATAAATATGTATATTTCTAAGAGCTCAGTCAGCTTTAAGAAGTGATGTTAAAACATTTTGGGAACAATGGTGATTTAGCTGACAAAATCAGATTTTAGGGTAACCCCATAGGAAATTGCATAATATATAATTGTGCAAAGAATCTCTTTATCCTTCATGGTCAATGGAGCCTATGATTTGCTCTGCAATCACATGCTTTATATTGAAATAATTCTCTTCCCAGAGGATTTTAAAATTAACAACATTGGACTCAGTTAAGTACCTTATCTAGAAACAAAAGCATGAAGTTAAAAATCTGCCTTAATTTAAATGAATCCTGCCATACTTTCAGAGTGGTTTCAGGTCACACATGGATGAATATGGTAGAGTGACTATTTGTGAAGAGATATCTAATTTGAAGATGTGCCACTCAGTTGACTCTGGAGCAGCTTGGATGTTAAGAAATACAGCCCATGACTGTTCAGTGATGATAATTTGTTAACTCATAGAATAGCCCAGTTCAAATCCACAGAACGAAAGCAAAGGATGATCCCCTGCTGTGAAGTGTTTGTCACTCCCAAAGAGCCAAAACCAGAACAGTGGTGAGATGTTTTTCTTCTCCTCTCGCTACCTGCCGAACAGGACAAGCACGCCTCGGCAGTGCCCATCATTTCCCTGGAAAGCCGCAGGGATGTTTTATCCACCCTGTCTGTGCCCTGGCTGTGCCTCAGCCCCATTCCCGGGAGCAAACGGGCGAGTTACGTTTTCCTCACTTCCCCTTTGAACCGGCGAAAGAGTTAATTTTCATGCGAACGTGCAAGAATTACGGTGTGTGTGCAAGGGATTAAAGATCAGCTATTATAAATTGGCAATCTATAAGCCACCGGCCACCGGCCCGCGTTGCACTTTGACCTTATCTTTATATGTAACAGGAAAAAGCTGTTCTGAGCCCAGACAGAGGGGGAACCACGGCGGCTGCCGGAGCGCCGGGCACAGCAGGGACCGGGAATGTCATCGGCGATGGAGGCACTGTACGGCAGGAACAAAGAAGAACACCCAGAGCCCATAAAGGCCGAGGTGCAGGGTAAGTGAAGGAAAATCTGTTCGAAAACGCGCCGCTGTTTTGGTGTTTTCCAACCCGTTAAAACTGCGACACTTGTTCACCCGAGGCAGCGCTGGAAAGGGAAACCGAGAGGGGGAGATAGGCGAGGGAGTTTTGTTTAAAGGACTGATCTCAGATAATGTTTGTGACCCTGCTGGGGGCTTCTTCTCACTTCGTGGGCGATTCTGTGTACTTTTCAAAAGTCTGTTTGAACAGGGCTCACTGAAGTTGGTGGTGAGGGACGAGAGCGGGATTTAAGCTCGGCCGCTCCCTCCCCCATGGCGCTGCCCAGGCTTTCGGTTTCTTTCTCTGAACTCTTCCCTCCCCTCCCTCTGTCCGCTCCCACTCTTCCCGGGCTCCTGGGGGGGCTCACGAAAATTCGGGCTCGTCGTCAAGTAGCCAAGCAGCAGGACTGGCTGCCCCCGGGGAGCGTTAAAAAGAGGGTTGAGAAGTTAATCCAGTAAAAACTGAGGAGTTTCCCTCAGCGGAAGTTTAAAGCGGCTCTCTAGGGAGGGACGCTTGACCAGCTTGTTATTTTTCCTGGTTTCTTTTACTTTACAGAAGATTTTTTTTTTTTTTGCTACAGCTGCTGAAGAGGTTTGTTGCCGAGAACCCCTGTTTAGTAAATCTCTGCTGTATTGTTTGCGATATGTAGTCCAAAAATGTAAGGAATCTTACACTGATAGTAAAGTCACTTCCCAACTTAAAACACTTCCCAACACTTGAAAAGATGACAATTAAAACTTGCACGACTTTGTTGTTATTCAGTTTGGTGGCTGAATAGGAAAAGGTTTTGTGTCAAGTCAGACGAAGTCCTTTGCTATAATGGCCTTTCAATTATTTTATGCCTTTATGGGTTTATGCCTTTCAATTATTTTTTCCCTCAAGATAACTACTTATTGAAACATTTGAAGTTGTTTGCAAACAAACCATTTATCAGATCTGATCTCTATTATGCAATAGTTTATTTGAACAAAGACTGCATATTTCAGAAAATAAAGTTATGTATATGAAATATTCCTATATATAAAATTTCATCGCTAAAGAAAACTCGTAGAGAACCTTGACCTCTTTAAATATTTTGCTAGTCCTGAGCTCTGCCACTATTTTGGCTCCTTGTTACTCAATATGTACACTGTAAATATAAACACCTACTTTTAACATCAGCTGCAATTTAACCCATGCTCTCCATGGAAGCCATGTACAGGCATGTCTGAGACTCTGTTGCTACAATAGTTAATAAATATCCAAATATTTGAGGGTCCTGTGTCACTGTTGTGTCCTCACCTGGTAGGGAAAAGAATAAAGTCCAGATTTTTAAAGGAATATAACACTTTAGGATGCTGACTAGTACCAAGTGTGATTTACTAAGTGATTGGTACCAAGTGTGAAATGGTTAATTCCCACTAAGATGAATTTTCATCTGAAAACCTTACTAGCTGACCCTTTGCTCCATGTTTTCCACACTGAAAATATACCAGAAACTACACTGGACTGCTCCAGAAGTTTCAGAAGCTGTATTAAATCCACAGTGCCTTAAAAAGAAGATCCTCTTTTCCCCCTGTTTATCTCTTCCAGCAAAATTATTTTATTGGCCTGTCCTGAAACTTTTTGAGCATCATTACTCTAATACACAGGAATAATCTCCAAACAAAATTTTTAGCCCTAATAGCTGCAAAATGTTGCCTGAATTGCCCATAATATGGGAGAAATAGCAAAGCTTCAACCTGCTATTGCCAGATAACAGAAAGTATAGAAAGGGAAGTGGCAAGAAGAGAAACATTTGTATTTTAGGCACGTAAAAAGACTCAACTTGTTCAGCAGTTAATATTCAGTAGTCAACCAAATGAAAATCATGGATTTATTTTGAATATATACTTTCTTAAGTTCATAATGCTATTCTCTCTGAAGGATTTTTTTTCTTTTGCTAACTGGTGATTTCTTCACTGTCTTCCCACCAGCTATTTTTAGTTACTCAGGTTTTGTGCAATAACCTGTATTATGGGTTAAACCATGTTCATCATACACAAAAAAAGTACTATAATTGTTGCTTTGGAACTTCTTGTGTTAGAGAGGGAAGTAAGATTTGGTTTTTCAGGGTCTTTTAGGGACAAAAAAAAAAAAAAAAAAATTCTTCATCTTTTGTGTCAACAATTTTTTATCTTCCTCATGTATTCCAGAACTGTGACCCTAATGAAGTTATGCCCTAACGATGGGTGATGGCTGCACAGTCCCTGGAATTGTTCAAGGCCAGGCTGGATGGGGCTTTGAGCAACCTGGTCTAGGGGAAGGTGCCCCTGCCCAAGGCAGAGGGGTGGAACTAAATAATCTTTAAGGTTCCTTCCAACCCAAACTATTCTATGAATCTGTGATTCTAACTGTGTGGAGAAGCAGTATGTAATTTTAAATGTTCCCTCAGGAGGCATACACAAAGAGAAACAAGTGAGGCTTTTCATTTAATATCTGTCATGTTTTTGTTCATCTCTTTAATCCCAATGACATTCTTTAATTGTTGTCATTCTGTGAGTCAAATGGTAGGTAATATTTTTCTTGCAGAGATTTGATGAAGAACATTTCTGATTGAAAGCTCAACAGTACTTACATATTTTCAGTATAATATTCCTACACTTTATTTGTGTACAAAGCACCACATTATGACTAATGTCACAGAAGCACTCCCAAAATGACACTACATTATGCTGTGTAATTTAATTAATGGGATTTTTACTGGAATTAATTTAGCCTGAAGTCTAAATTGATATACTGAAGGCCAATGCAAGTCATCTAACCCATAAAATACATTTGTTTCTGATAAGCTCTAGCTTTTCCTGGCACGAATAAAAGGATTGAAATGTATCTCTGTAAAATCTGAGTGCAGCAAATAAAGGTCCAACTTTATTTGCTTCCTGATAATTAACAAATTACATTCCAGCAATCTCATCTTCTTATAGTAATCTCATATAGCAATAGTCAGAATGTTATGTTTTTGAGCAGAGGAAATTTTAGTGAACCCAAACTCCAACATAATTGTATGATACTGCAAATCTTAACACACCGGTAGTCTGACTATATGAAACCTTGGTCCTTAGGAAAACTGTCCTGGAACAGGCTCCTCACCTAAATGAATGGATACTGGTAACTCCTTTCTGTTTATAGGTCAGCTGCCCACTTGGTTGCAAGGGATCCTTCTCCGGAATGGCCCAGGGATGCACACCATAGGGGACAGCAAGTACAACCACTGGTTTGATGGCTTGGCTCTGCTGCACAGCTTTACCTTTAAAAATGGTGAGTTGTTGCACATCACACTAAAAACAGCTCCACCCCCCATATTTTGGTGCCTTACGTTGCTAATTCTGTTTGGAGCTGGATTAGAGTGTTTGAGGTTTTTTCTGCGGCGTGGCTTGTGTGGGAACTGCTGTGGGGAAAGTCTTTCCAAGCACCCTCCCACCTCCCTGTCTGCAGCAGGAGTGTCTCTGCAGGGCTGTTATCAGGGAGATGTTACATTATCCTTTTTTCGAGAGTGCCAAAGTTCAGTGATGACAGCACAAAACCAGCTCTGGGCAGGTCACTGCAGGGCAGCCTTTCCCTTCCACCCAGAGCAAGAAAACCTCTGCTGTTTTAAAATGGATCAGCCCTGTAATATCTGGAGATTTTCTGTTGTGGATGAACAACCTAATTTCAGGGAAGACTAACATTCCCCTTTGGGGATTTGGTTGCAGCTATAACAGCTGCCAGCAGAGTAACTGGGCCACTGTGTCACTTCACACATCAAACCTCAGGTATATTTGACACCCCTACAGTCCATCCTCCTGCTTGTCATCTTTATGGGGGAAAACAGGCAGCTCCTCTATCCTAACCAATTGCATCTTTTTGTTTTCAGTTAGAGCATTTTTCATTCATTCAGCTGTTTTACAGTGTGAGGCAGGATGGTTTACACCTAGATTCTTGTGGCAAAAAGTATGTGTCTATAAAAAAAAATGGGATTTACTCCTGCCATCCTCCAATCCTAGTGTTCACTATTTAGTTTTCATTTCTGTGATTGGAAGCATTTAATGCATTTAATGCAACTGCAGGATCTCCTTGCCTGTCCAGATCTATATCCTTAACAAAATAACCTATAAAGAAATGTTTTGGGGTTTTTTTAAATTGCCAGTATGTTTTAATTATCTAAAACAAACAGAGCTCACTTAGTTCAAGTGTAGGGGGCCATTAAATATTTTAGGGCAGACATTGATTCCTTCCAGCAATTTGTTACTCTCTCATAATTAGATTTTGCCAAAACAGGAGATTTATCACACCCATACATGGATTGTATAATTAATCATTTTTGCACAGAGCATTTTATTTTACTGGAACAATTTATCCAAATCCCTCCTTTCCCCTCAGAAGTCCCCCAGTACTGCCCAAAAGTGTTGGGACTCAGGGAATCTTGACAAATTGCTACCAATCTCAGCAGCCACAAAGCCTTTCAAAACAGGGAGTTAGGGGCATGGTTGGTTTTGTTCCAAACTATTGTTGAGTAAAGGACAGCTACTTGAGAAACTTGGGCTTTACCTAATTTGCTAATTTTCTGAAGAACTAAGTCTAAAATGTGATGGAAACCTGTTTGTTGTTCTTCAGGTGAAGTTTACTACAGAAGTAAATACCTCCGAAGCGACACCTACAACTGCAACATAGAAGCAAACAGAATCGTGGTGTCTGAGTTTGGCACTATGGCTTATCCAGATCCGTGTAAAAACATATTTGCCAAGTAAGCAACGCTTTCCCCAGCAAGATTCTTCTGTTTACTTCTCTCCCTGTTTACCCTGACGCATCTGGACAGTAATAAAATTGGTTCGGCAAATTTACAGTTGCTAAATATTGAGAAGGCCTCTGTGGATTAGTCTAAGGCAAACACTGTAAATTGATTTTGTCACCAATGTTGCCTGGTTTGTTCACTCAGCACAAACAGATTCTGTAAAAAACAAACATTTTCTTTCTCGAGTGTTTTACAAAACTTAGGATACTGTAAGGGGAGAAGCAGCAAGAGAGGAAAAGATCACAGAATCACAGAATATGCTGAGTTGGAAGGGGCCCACAAGGGTCATCAAGCCCAACCCTTAGCCCTGCCCAGGACTAAGAGATGGGGATGGAATTAATGCAAAGTCTATTCAACAAAAAGAAGAGAAGCATCAATAACTGCAAAAAATCAGAAAAGCTTTTTGATTCAAGCTGAGAGGCAAGGTGTGAGCCATCATGTTATCCTTGGTCCTGTAAGATTGGCTGTAGGTATTCCCTAACAAATGCCAATAGCTCACCCCTCTCTACTTCCTGGCTGAACCTCAAACATCATATTTGGTAAGAAAACATGCAGGAACAGTTCTTGCAGAACAGCTGATATGTTGCAAGTCGTTCCCCTGAGATCAGATGATTTTCTTCCCTCTTCCAGCACTAATAGAGTAACTGGCATTTTAAGTTCAAAAGGGATATAAGCAACTTTGTCTTGGCTTCCAGGGACTATGATAAAATCCTACACTTATAAGAAAAACTTTGGAGCCCATGTGTGAAGTTTGATCTTTGAAGTCATAATTGTGATATGGGATAACACTGGGAACAAAAATATTCCTTCAGGGAGTATATGACTATCTGTTTATGAAGGCATACACTGAAAAACCTTCCAGCTTTTAGGTAGGAACTCCTAGGCCAAATTTTCCCAAGGTAGGCACAGGAGAGTGTGTAATTAGCCCATCCTGCTAAAGCAGAGCTGACAGCAGGAATGGGCCTGGATGCCCATTTGTGCATGGAAAAACATATGCTTGCATGTCCTTAACCCTCCCCAGGCCAAGGGCATTGGAGAAGTCCATCTCCTTTGCTTTTCCACCCTTTCCACTGAGGCAGTGTGGGAGCTGCCAGGAGAGGGCACAGCAAGGAGAGACAGCCCCAGGTCACACTGCCCGGGTGACTTGTGCTCTGTGCAGGGGAAAGCAGCTCCAGCTTCCAGCTCTAATGAACCCACTGGGAATCTCCCTCTGTACAGGGCATTCTGCTATTTGTCTCACACCATTCCTGAGTTCACAGACAACTGCCTGATCAACATTATGAAAGCTGGGGATGATTTTTATGCTACCAGCGAGACCAACTTCATCAGGAAAATTAATCCACAGACTCTGGAGACGTTGGACAAGGTATAAACCTCTGCCTGTCCTCTTAGTTCCTTGTCTGCTAGTGATTAAAGTTTCAGGCTGACTGATAAGGATCCTTGAACACATGCAGGACACAAAATATTTCTCTTCTACTGTTGCCTTACTTTTGAAATCATGGCAAAGTGAAATAGTGAAGGTACCAGATCTTTCAAGGACTCCTGAAATCAAATTTAAATCCCATGAGGTTTGGGAAAAGCGGGGCTTTGGGCAAGGTTGCAGGAATAATAGCACAATCACATGATTATTTTGGATGATTGCCATTATTATGTATCTCAGTTATAAAATTATTTACATAATTATCAAGTCAGTAGGTCAGTTATATGACTACTTTTCAAGAACCTTATGCAAGATATTACTTAATTATCAAAATGGAACCTTGATATATGGAAATATACAATGAAGTTTTTTCTAGCACGCAGTACAGTTTGAGTACAACTTCCAAAATTTAAATCAAACAGAAATCTTTTTGCTCCAGCAGGTCGCCAGACCCACAGCCCTGTTAAATAAACTGATTCCAGGGTGAAATGGGAATTCACACAGGAATTTCTTTAGCTGATCCTCCCCTGGTGTTATGTGGCTGCAGGGGAGGGGTGACTGTAATTCAGATTCTGTAACTTAGTTTTAGCCTTGAATTAGGAAATGATTTGACACAAGCCATTTGGTTTAAATATTTAAATTTCAAGGTCGTTTGAAAATGAGGTGCCAATAAAAGGCTGCCAGTGTTAAAAAGCTGATGGATTTGTGGTGTTAGCTGAGATCAATTTTAATTCTCTTACACTTCTCTCAGACCTCTTATTGTATCATTTTCCAGGTTGATTACAGCAAATACGTAGCTGTAAATGTGACAACTTCTCACCCACACTATGACAGTGCTGGAAATATTCTCAACATGGGCACTTCAATAGTTGATAAAGGGAAGACAAAATATGTTCTATTTAAGATTCCTTCCTCTGTGCCAGGTAAGATATGTCTTTAATTGGTATTTTCTAGAAACTTGTTAGCAATTTCTTTTCTTCTGAGGGTAAGGAGGAGTGATACAGCTCATCTAGCAACCAGTGGTGTTAATTTTCATAATTTCAACTTATTGTGAACTTCATGTTAACTGCTTAGCCTGTCTGGGCATGTGCTCTTACAAAGGTCCATCTTGAGTACTGTGTAAACAGGGTATTTCAGTAGGAAGGACCTTACTTTCAGATGAAGATTTGAAAAACAATTTTCTCTATAGGGCTGTATATATAATTGGAAGTTGAAAAATTTTAATTTCTTTGTAAACGAAAATTCTCACAAAATGCTGATACTGTGATGATAGGGAAGCAAATAATACTTAATGTAGAGCAAATTCTTCTTTAGCCTGGCCTACAATGGGCCTTGCTGAAACACCATCCTTTGTTCACAGAGCAAATCCCTTACTTTATTTCCTTCAAATAATATTTTGTGTGTGTGTGGTGTTGTTTAAAATCAGCTGCTGACAGGATGCCTGTCCCTTGCTGAACAATCAAGAGGCCTCCAAGAGCTGCAAGATCAGTTTGTAATTTCTGGCTGGGGCTCAAACAAAGTCAATATAAGTCAAGCAGGAACATCTCCTTAGCAGTTAAAAAATATAGGGACATTTGAACTCCTTTTTAAAAGCTACTGATTTAAGTAAACACCTTTCTCCTCTATACTGGAAATTCTGAAGGCAGTAACCAGTGGAACCAAATCCCAAGACAAGGGGCTCTGCCTGAATGGATCTGGCATTGTGATTTCACTGTGTTGCTTCACTGGGATGCAAACTTCTATGTTAATTATACAGTAGTAAACAAACCACTTTCTTAACAGGAAAATGCAACTAAAACTGAGAGGAACCCGTTCTTCTATGCGTGGGAGAAACCCAAGCACAGGTTTGAATAGGAACTTACTATAAATATATTTTTATTTTTGACCATTTTTGTTTATGTTCAGAACAAGAAAAGAAGAAATCTTGTTTCAAACACCTGGAAGTGGTTTGCTCCATCCCTTCTCGCTCTCTGCTCCACCCCAGCTACTACCACAGCTTTGGAATCACAGAAAATTACATCATCTTTGTAGAGCAGCCCTTCAGGCTGGATATTGTCAAAATGGCAACTGCTTACATCCGAGGGGTGACCTGGGCTTCCTGCCTTGCCTTCAATAAGGATGACAAGGTATTTTTCCTGTTGCTGAGCAAGGGAGTCAGGCAGGCCAGTGACCTCTTCCATGCTGTTCTGTTGTCATCTGGTTCATTAATTTCAGGAGTCCCTCATTTTTTTAAACCCTTGGCTTTCACGTTGCACTGTTTTGTTTAGAAGTTGTCTTTTTTTGAATACTATCTCCCATGTCCAGAAACTTCACAAATAAATATGCTGAAGCTCTTGAGAAAGAGGGTAGTTTAGAAAGTAGGTACTGTTAGAAATATTGTGTTCCAGCAGAGAAATTCCAGCCTGTACCACCATCTGAGACACATCCAGTTGCTCCTGGCCCAAACAAAATGCTGTGGATTAGATCTACTCTGGGGGCATTGCATGTGATAGAACCAAATTGGTGGAGCAGCCTGCACTGAACAAAAGGAGAGTCTTTCACTGTGGCAACTGAGGGAAAAAACCTGTTTTCTGAGGACCATGTTTCCACTTATTGATGCTCTGGCCATCAATAAATGGGACTTGCTGGGGTACAGAGCATCAGCACAGAGCAGTACAGAGACCCTCGACCAAGGCAGATTTATTTAACTTGAAAAGAGAGCAGGGGATTTTCTAGATTTTACTGGAAAATTTCAATCCTCAGCCTAGCCCAAAAGTAATTTGCAATAGTAAAAGGAGCTTAAAGCTCTTCCACACTCATTTTATTCCAGTATTTTTTGGTCTTCAGGTTGGAACCTCTTGTCTCCCAGCAGCAAACCCCGAGCTCTTACTGTGCTTCAGTAGACAGAGAGTGATTAGAATGGTGATGGTTACCATTAGAAAACAATTTTCTAAATAGCTATTTGCTGACTATGAACAGTTTTCAATAATGTTTTTTTATCTTTCAGACTTGGTTTCACTTTGTAGACAGGAAGACTAAAAAAGAAGTGTCCACCAAGTTTTATACTGATGCCATGGTGTTTTTCCACCATGTAAATGCTTATGAAGAGGATGGCCACATTATTTTTGATATTATTTCCTATACAGACAATAGCTTATATGACATGTTCTATTTAAAAAACATGAATAAAGACTTTGAAGAGAACACCAAGCTCACCTCCATCCCAACCTGCAAACGATTTGTTGTTCCTCTGCAGTTTGACAAGGTAGAAAGAAAATGGCTGTTTAATGTGTTCTTTGATCAGTACTTTAAAATGGATCAGTGTGATCAATGGGTGAATTACTAGTTGCCAGCCTTTATGTGCAAATTTCTGATTCTGGGATACACAAAATGGGCAGGAGGTTTGTTTTGTATATGTATTGTGAGAAATGGCAGCAAACATCTGGACACTGTTACGTGGATCCAGGTGCTGACACCATCCCTTGTGGGAGTACAGGGCTATTGGGAACATGGCATTCTCTTACCAGGGAGATTATTTGTTAAATGCCATCAAATGCAAGCAGATATATCACCTTGGCTGCTGGCTGCAAGGGCATGTGTGAGGTTTTTCACAATCTGTTTACTGCACTTTACTGGAAGCCTCCATTTAATACACACACGCTCCCATCCACTGCAGTGGTTTTATTAAAGTAAGAAGATTTCATTTAAGTGTGAGATACACCAGGAAGAGAAAAGATTTTATCTTTCAGTTTAATTTAAAACATCATTTTACATCATTGTTTGCCCAGAAGATCTTATACTGCCCAGCAACTTGGGCAAGTTTCTGCCTGATACTTTTGGAATGGATATTACTTTTTCTTTCTACATCCTGGAATCTTGCTGCTTTGTTCATGTTTCAGAAACAGCTCTGCAGCACTGACAAAGGATGTGTTGGATCACACCAGCTGTTCAAACTACCCTGTGCAACCTTAAGAATTCAGCAGTAGCACACTGAAGAGTGTATTACACCTATTTTTGCACTTGATTTTTAGCAGGTGCAAAAACCTAACATTGGTGACTTCTAGTGGGAATTTGATACCCAATTCTTTGAAACCTGTCTTCACTCATTTAATTCACAAATTTGTTGTACTTTTGGAACATAGCCAAATGTATCTAAACCTTTCTAAGGACTCAGTGTGATTCAAAGTGATTATTCTATGATATATTAAAATACTGAGTATAACAAGATTTCTCATGAAAACCTCACAATGTTACAAGATAAACACCATAAGAAGGATCTTCTTGAAAGTTGATTATTTGTTTACTCCCGACATTGTTTATGTTAATATCAAACACGATGATAAATCTAAATTAGAAGCATTTCCTTACAGACACAAGGGTTTTCAGTGTATATTTCTTTCAGGATGCTGGAGTAGGTTCTAATTTAGTCACACTTCCCTCTACTGCAACTGCTGTAAAGGAGAAAGATGGGATCTACTGCCAACCTGAAATACTGTGTGAAGGTGAGACATAACCATTATACAGGTCTCAAATACATTCTCCTACACACACAGAAGGGCATTCTAATAATGCCTGAGAGCTGTTCATATATGGAAAATCTTTATAAAGCAAAGGGAAATGACACTTTTAATGAACATGCTTAGTGTAGATATTGACAGTATATGTTTTTCTTCTTTACTGCCTTCCTCTGGGTCTATCCAGTAATACATGACCCTGAACATTTAAATGCCTGATGTTACATCAGTTTTGTGTTAATACAGGATCCCAAGTCTGATCTCACATCTATTAATAGGGCTTGCAAATCTACCTGTTACAAGAGTCATTTTAGTTAAATGGGTCTGTTATAAATAGTACCTTCAGTTTTTACTGTATTTTATAATGTTTGCCTTGCAAAGCAGATTTTTAACCTTTTTTCAGGGAATAATAACAGGAATATGCAAATAGTATATATTTACCTAAAGTGAAAGTAATGTCTTAAAATGGTAGCCTCCAGTTTATCTCAGTTGTTCAGGTCATGTATTTATGAAGAAAGAAAAAAACCCACACCGAAAAAAACCTTCATAAATTCCAGTATAATGAATCCCTAAGAATGAAATATCATCAGTTTTTGAACTAACAACCCTGGCTTAATTATATTAACACCCATCTTCTGCTTCTTAGAAATTCAGACATACAAACTCTATGCAACATCTTTATTCAACAGTGTCAGGGTTTTCCACAGGGCAAAACTTCCTGAAGATTGCTATATGCAAATGTACATTTCAGTTATTTTTCTTTTCTTGTTCCTAACTCTTGAACTTTATTTTACCCAGGGATAGAACTGCCTCGCATCAACTATGACTATAATGGCAAAAAACACAAGTATATCTTTGCAACGGAAGTGCAGTGGAGTCCAGTTCCTACAAAGGTATAATTAACATTTACAAAGTCAGTGTTTTCCCATTTGTGGGTCATTCACATGCAAAGAAACACGAAAAGCCTGAATTCTTAGGAGGGTAAGCTCATGTTGTACCATTTCCCTGATAAAGTATTAATAAACTCAGGCTTCTTTCTCCAGGTTTCTATTCCCACAAAGACTCTTGAATAGTTACTGAGACCCTCAGTTTTCTGCTCTATTGGGCTGAACCTTCTGTAATGTGCCAAGAGCTACAAAGGAGGGAGTAGGAAGAAGTACTGATAGATGTACATATTTAATACTTTTTTACCTTTTCAAAACCTAACTAAAAAAAATAAGATATTGCAATGCTACCTAATAGACTTTAAATATTAAAACAATATCTAATTTTTCAGAAAGCTTTATATTTTATTGGCTGGTTCTCTCTTAGAGGGTAGCAAATGCTTTGTTTACCTGTGCATGATGCCAACTTTTCAGGAGACAGCTATTAGTGTTAATCTTTGAAGGTAAAAATATTATACAGACAAACTCACTCTTTACAATTCTTGTTCTGTGACCAAGGCAGCACAAATTAAGGTCACTGTTGGTTCTTGTATATAATTACCACAACTGATTACAAAATAAAGCTGGATTTCTGCATGATGCAAGAAAATTTATTGCAGCATATCTGACAGAAGCTCAAACAAATCTGCAAGTTTGTGATTTCCAGTGTAGATAATCCCTGATTGACTTAAACATAACAAAAGACGCTGTTAGGAGATTTTGTTTTTTACATCAGTTGCACTTTAATGAATGCAAGCACAACAACCACCACATATAATCCACATATAATCCAATATAATAAGGTAAAGTCTGTCAGTGAAATTGCTGTAATCTTGAAGTTAGATGAGAGAATTCTTCCAAATTCTTCCTCCACTAATCAGAATAGTTTCACTTTTGTGTAAACATATTTTTTGGCTTAAGATCAAAAGGGAAAAGAATAGAACTGCATCTGTGTAGGTAGAGAAGAGGCCTTAATGGAATTGAACTGAAAATGCCAGGCATCCCCTCTGGCAATTGGTTTGGCCACTCAGTGAGATGAAAATCCACACTCTGCTCCTTCAGTAAATTCCAGTGTCTGCCCCTCTGGTTTAATCTTTACCCCTCACTATGAATAGCCTTGGTTCTGGCATAGGTACCCTACTGCACAATAGAAGGCCTTGAGAAATAGGGAAAATAATTCACAGGATTAGAAAATGTTTTCTGCTCTACTGCAGAATCTCAGTGAATTGGCACAAGGACTTAAATGTTCTGGGCCCTGGACTCTGTAGAGTGAGGGCATTATTTACACTGAAGATCTCATGATCTGTTAGTATTTGTAAACTATAAATAGAACATGCAATCGTAATCTAAATTAAAAGAACGTTGTGTGATTATGCAGCCACTAAATACGACTCCAAAATGTAACATTTTCCAGGTGTTTCCTTCTTGTGCCTTGTTGCTCCTTAACCCTTAGCATTGGTGCCCCCTGCCAGCTGTGTGTTCACATTGTACCTTTGGAAAAAGCTACTGTTGGGGTCACTGACATTTTTCTTTTCTGGTCACAACAATTTAGATTGCAAAATTTAATACCCAGACAAAGGAAATGCTCCACTGGGGAGGGGAGGACTGCTGGCCATCAGAGCCCATCTTTGTTCCCAGCCCTGATGCAAGAGAAGAGGATGACGGTAAAATAACGACACAACATTCTGAAAGCTGGGGTTACATGAGTTTTGTATTAAATCTTACAAGTTTCATTGTTCTTAGTCAAGAAAGCTGGGTTCATGCTTCCACTGGGAGATTAAAATTAGCACCAGCCATTTTATTCCTGCAGACAGAAAACCAAAGTAACAATAGACCAAAATCAGCTTCGTAATGTCTCAACGGAGCCATAAACAATAAAACCAATGCTTAGGATTTTCCAGAGAGCCACTCAGAGATGGATTTATCAACAGTGGGAAGTCAGTGATGTTACCAGTGAGAACTAGTGGCACTGCAAGTATTCCTGTAATGTCCATCCAGTTCTGTTCTCAGCTGAGCCCTTGCAAAGGCAAATGGCAAACAGCTGAAAGGATGAGCCCCAAAAATACCAGGAACAGTTTGGTGTTGGTTTGCTTGTTTTCCTTCCCAATGAACTGCAGGCAGACCAGCAGAAAGCACAGAAGAGAAGCATCCATTAGTTCTTGAGACTCTCAGTAAAGTACTCGATCTAGTAAAGCACTTAGTGTTCTAAAACTCGCAGGAAATAAGAATTGTTTCCTGACAGTGTTATCTTTCCTGCTTGCTGTAACTATTATATGCTTCTAATTCTTCATTTGTACATCACAGGTGTTGTTCTGACCTGTGTTGTGAGGACTGATCCAGAGAAAGCACCCTTCCTACTTGTCTTGGATGCTAAAACATTCACAGAATTGGGACGAGCCACAGTAGATGTAAAAATGCATCTGGACCTGCATGGAATGTTTATACCAGAGCAAGATTTGAAGACTGAGACTGAATAAAATGCTGTTTGTCTTATTGCACAGACCAAGACAACCTTCTGCTGAATATCCTTCAGGAACAACCTTCTCTTATGACAAGAAATGACTAATTATAATCTCTTCAATATCTATATATAATCTCTTATAAGAGATAGCAATGACTTTTGTTACAAATTCTTATATGCACAACTGGTCTATCACTATTCCAAAAGAAGAATTATGAGTACGAAGTGCTAATGTTTTATACAACTCACGGGGCAGGGAATAGGAGACAAAGGTAGCAAGAAATGTTTTATTTGAGCAGGCTCAAGCTTTGTGAGGCAATGAAGTACTGTATTTATAGGGTGACGCATGGCATGAGTCACAGATGGCTGCAGGTCATGGAACTTCCATGGACTGTTGCAAGACTGCAGCTGACAATGAAAGTTGTCTCCTGCCAGAAGAACCTCATGTTAAACTATCTACTATATTCATAATTCATGACAGTGTATTCTCTTGGTGCTTGATTTCTTAAATTCCACCATAACCAAAGTATTACGTTGAGGTGCTACATTTTTCTTATCCAGAAACCACAATACTGCAGCTTTGCTAGTCCTTTCATGGGGTATTTCTCACTTTTATGTTGACAAAACCAAGTAACTTTATTGAAATAGAATATATATTTTTATGTATCATTCAATTATACTTTCGTGATACTCAGTCTTAAGCACTTTGTATTTAAATCAGTTTTCCCTGAGGACAATATCTGACATGTCACGTAACTAGATGATTACGTTGTGTAAAAGATAAAAAAGAATTGTAGTATTTATTAATATTGCTACTTGTGTCTGTTAATAACAGTATGTATGTGAATGAGGGCAGTGTATTTCTAGCAGAACTCAATACACAGGAACAACAAACTGTTTAGGGAAAGAGTGAAAGATCTAATCTAGGTCTCATCTGAACCACACAGAAGCTGAAACTATATACAAGCTGATGTTGCCAGAGCTGAGCATTTGCTTTATGTCTGCTTAGGAGCATCCATATTCTCACATGGGTTTATCATTGCCTGTACCTGATGCTTCCCAATAAAAGTGCCCAACTCTCACTAACAGGCACAATTAAAAAGTACATTTCAACATCAAGTTCATAAAGTGCCAAGTACAGTGGGACCGGTTTTTGTTACAGGAATGGCATTTCCTAATCCCCTGAGTGTATTTCTGTTTCCCTGTTCAGGGCATTGATTTTTCTTTAAATAAGAGCTTTTTTGCTTTGAATTGTATTTTCCTGTTGTAGATACATTTACTGTTGGAGGCATCTTTACTGACAGAGAAAACCAGGTGTACATCCATCCATTTAGGTGTTCATCTGGTCTGTCCATATCACCACACTGCTCAGGTATCTCTCACTTTTATACACACATTCTCACAGTGTCTGTGCTGCTCATGCTGTTTTACAGGTAGGAAGCAGAATGAAATTGTGGTCATTTACTTTCTTCCCATCACATGAGAATCTGGGCCTTGGTGACTTGTTCATGGTTACCTAAGATGCTTAGAGCAGAGCAGGAACTGCACCAACATCAGCCACGGTTCCTGTCTGCTCTGTAACAACTAGAACTCAGTTTCTCTGCTTAAGTCTTTTCACTTTATAAGTATAAAGAATACACAGGCTATTTTTAATGTTTAAAAAAAAAAAAAAGTCCCTGTGGTCAGGTTTAGTTAAAATATGCAGTTTTGGGCATTCAGAGGTTTACATGTTCCACAGAATGGAAATAAATACTTCAGTAAGGTGTGTCTGCAGAAATAGTCACCTCTAGTGTTTCCAAGGCATGTTAACACTAGTATCTAAGAGAACTTTATCTTCTATAGAAGAAATTGAATTCCATTTTTGAATGTAATATGGAACTGGTATGGAAGCAAAGATTTGTGATATTGGCAAAAGACACCAGCTCTGGGGTTGTTCCTTTTGATCTCAAAAAGTTTGGATTTAACAAGTGCCCACAAATATTTCTGAAACTCTAAGATGGCAATGAATCAAAAGTCTAACCATTATTATAGATTGTATTTTAAGGATTTTTCTTCAGAATTTCTTCTGTAGAACTCATAGGGTTATGGTTTTAGATGATCATGAGTTTGGACACAGGAGTTAATTGACTTCTAAGGAACTAATTCTTACTGGTAGAGATGACATGATAGGGAAACACTCACCATAAAAGCAACCTGTAGTCTAAGAAAGTAAACCTGTTATTTACATTCATTCAGAAATAATGTAGAAAATAAATTGTAAGAACTTGTCTTGGGTATGATTTTTTAAACAAAATGGGCCATATTCCCTTGGTCAGTATTACAGAGGACTTGATTAGCATCAAGTCTGTAGTCAACCTGAAGAGAAAAACAGTGATGTAAATCTGGATTTGCCAATCCCAGTATCCTCCTGTGGCAGAGACAAGAGGGATAAAACCACGTGGCTAATCACAAATTTGTTCAAGAATGTTTTTAGTGGTTGCAATGCTAATCTGATGAAACATTTACCCTGAATATGGTAACACACCATATCATTTCCAGGCTGACAGCAGCACAGGGAATGTTAGATATGCTTTGCCAAGTGGCTGCATGGCTTGTGGGTTTTTTTGATGTGGCAACATGGCACGTGGTAATGAGTGTCATTTGGTTTGCTGCTGACAAACTGTAGGAAATCTCAAGGGCAGAAAGGTTTGAGTCTTCTTTTGCAGAAATTTAAGCCATAGATTAGCCCAGTAAAGCTCATGGAGTTATTGGAATGGCTTAAAACAAATCTAGATTGAGTGACTGCAAATAAAACTAGAAAGGATAGGTATCTCAACTGAAAAAAGTATATACTAGAGTGATAGAATCAGGCCACGGGTATGAATCATATCATTACCTCAGAGCTGTTACAAGTGGACCTTGGTAGAGTGGTTTGGTTTGTTGTTGTTTTGGGTTTGTTTTTTTTTACCAAGACTTTCATTAAATTGAACAAATAACAAGGTATAATAAATAATTTGTTCTCTAGAAGCGGGTATTATCTGTTACACCTTGTCTTATTGCCCCACATTTGCAGCAGGAGGAAGCAGAGACAATGTTTACTAGGACAAGTCAAAAACCAGAAATACAACAATGTTTTCCTGTGTAACAGGAGGCACGGAAACACACCAGTGTCTTTCTTTTTAAATAACCAGGCCACTCAATGACAGCTTTTGCAATAATTCAAACCACTGTTCCCCTGGGTATGCAATTACCACAGTATTAATAACAAGTAGTCAAGGTGCAGCGTGCTCTCTGCCTTCATTACCCTCAAAGAGAGCTGGGAATGTGTCCTCTGGATCTGTTGTGCTCCTCCTCATTCTACACTTGACATCCTGAGTAATTACACCCAAGCCAGAAGAGGCGGCCTTCTAATATTTGTAAAGGGGTAGTATAACCATAAGTGTTGCAAAGTTGCTGGTGTTTCATGCACATTAGCATGATTTGAGGCCTCCATGAAACATCCTCTGCTCCTAAAACTCTTGTTCAGAGGTGCACAGCAAACCTGGAGCCTGGTGCTCAGGTAAGCACTGTAAGCATTGGCTCAAAGGGGGCTGTGCCCACTCCCCACCCAGGCACTGAGAGTAGGGTTTGCACTGCGGGGTCTCCACGTGTGGATGTCCCAGCTGCAACCTCCATCTGGACAACAAACCAGCATTGTGTCTAGCTGGAGAAGAACAAGGCTGCCTTTGTGAAGGCGTTCATTTGGGGTCACTTCCAGACACCTTAATTCATTTTCCAAGTGGTAAAATGGAGACAGCATCAAACTGAACGGAGGATAACATTTTGTCACATTTCACAGAAATGCAAGTAATAATAAAAGCATGTGACCCACCACAGCTTTGCTAGACCAGGCCCTCTGAAAATGTTACTGTCCCAGTGGAGCAATGGACAGTGTGACATCCATCTGGGTGTTCCACAGCCTGAGAATTCCCAGTCCAGCTGTGCTCAGCAGCGCAGGGAATGCAGTGAGCTGCTGTGCTGGGTCCCTCCTGGCAGCACCGGCTGGGTGTGTGTTTTAGAGCAGATCACAGCTTTTGAAACACTTTCACTCAGAGTGCAAATAGTTTCACTGCTTAAATACTGAATGCTGTTAAGAAAGCAGATGGAATCAAGTCATCTCTTAATGTGCAATTAAGTGTGTTAATCAACAGCCTAAAATTTAGCTTGTGAACAGTCCTGAAGGAGATCTCCTTTGCTGGAACAGGCTGTGTTTCCAGCAGGCAGCTGTGGAAAGCGGCACTATCGCAGTGAGTCTCGCTGTACTTAAATCTGATTCTCTTACTTTTCCTCATGCTAGTGCCAGTCATGTTCATCTCCAGCATGCAAAAGGGAACAAATAGATAAATGTAAGACCAGTTTTACAGAATAACAGAATCAACTGGGTTGGAAAAGAACTCGGAAATCATCAAGTCCAGCCTATGACCAAACACCAGCCTGTCAACTAGACCACTGGAGTGCCACGTCCAGTCTTTCCCTAGACACCTGCAGGATGTCTAATCCAATGTCTAATCATCCTCTATGTGAAAAAATTCCTCCTGATGCCCAAGCTAAACCTCCCCTGGCGCAGCTTAGGACCGTGTCCTCTTGTCCTGTCCCTTGTTCCCTGGGAGCAGAGCCCGATCCCCCCGGCCCTACCCTCCTGTCAGGGAGCTGGAGAGTGACAAGGTCCCTCCTGAGCCTCCTTTTCTCCAGGCTGAGCCCCCCCAGCTCCCTCAGCCATTCCTCACTGGACTTGTGCTCCAGACCCTTCACCGGCTCCCCTGCCCTTCTCCAGACCTCCTTTAGCCACATTTCAGAGCCGAGAGGGGACAACACAGACACTTCAGGGATAACACCCACACTCCCGCGACCGTGCCGAGCTCAGGGTCCCCGCCCCGCCCCGGCGGAGGGGCGGCGGTGCCGGGGCGGGCGGGCCGGGCCACCCCCGCGGGGCGGCGCAGGGAAATGATGCCGGCGGATGATGTCAGCGGCGGGCGGGCGCTCAGCCATGGTGTGAGGGCAGGGACTGAGCCGGCCCGGCCCGGCCCGGCTCGGCGGCGGCAGCAGCACCATGTCGGGGCCGAGCGCCGTGTCGGACCCGCAGCACCCGGCGCGGCTGCTGCGGGCGCTCAGCTCGTTCCGGGAGGAGACGCGGTTCTGCGACGCGCACCTGGTGCTGGAGGGCGAGGAGATCCCGGTGCAGAAGAACATCCTGGCGGCCGCCAGCCCCTACATCAGGTACGGCCGGGCCGGGCCGGGCCCGCGGCCGCTCGGAGCGGGGCAGAGCCGGGGTTACATAAGGAGGCTGGGCAGGACGGAGCAGCCCGGGAAGGCCGGCGGGGGCTCTGCGGACCCTGCGGCGCCTCGGCCCGGAGTTGGCCCGAGCGCCCCGGGAGGGCGTGGAGTGTCCCCCTGTGGGGACATTCAAACCCTCCTGGACGCGTTCCTGCTCCAGGTGACCCTGCCTGGGCGGCGGGGTTGGACTGGGATGATCTCCAGAGGTCCCTTCCAACCCTAGCAGTCCTGTGTTTCTGTGGGAGCAGCAGCTGGGCCGGCTCCTTCCCTCCTTCCCTCCCTCAGGCCGGTGCCGCCGGGCTCCTCCGCAGGAGCCGCCGTGTTCTCGGCATCAAACCGCTGCTTTTTCCAGGTCCCAGAGGCTCTGTCACCCACCGGGGAAAAAAATCCCCCCTCCCCAGCACCTGAATTGCTGCCAAGTGCCTGGCGTGAACAAGCGACCCACAAAGAACGAGCTGTGCGGATGGTCGGGGAGGTGTCCGAGGGGCAGCATCCCAGGGGATGCCGTGAGGAGCTGGGCCGAGTCAGCACTTTAGCATCATTTTTTTTTTTATCCTTAACGCCTTTTAGCAAGACAGGGTGCTAGGTGGTGGTTATGTGTCCTGAAGTACATCGACTTTTAAATTAAAAAAAAAACAAAACAAAAAAACCCGGGTTTGTCTCCCC